CTCTGCTGACACATCTGGCTGCCGGAGAGCTTGTACTTGTGCCACTTCTTTCTGGCCTCATCCTGACGTCGGAAGCAGGGCCCACTGACGACTGAAACGACCCATTCAACTGGCAATTATTGAGGCAATTGTCAATTTGGCAGCCTAGGTTACAAGTTGCGCGTGCGCGTTGCGCTTGGAACTGCTTTGGCGCGACGACTTTAGCACTGCGCTTCTGCTTGAAAACTGCTCTATCTGTCGTGTTACTTACAGTACATGTTGCAACTCGCCTCAGAGCTGCCTGCTGCTTGCTTTTGTGCGTGTTCGGCGGCGGACGAACCTCACAGTTTGTCTGAGACATGCGGGCTATATACTTTAGAACAGCATTCGTGCGTCTTGCTTCTGAATCTCCGTTCCATGATAACTATAGACTTCTCAGCTACAGCAATCACTTGCCTCCGACTGCACATTCTTGACAACCTGCACCTGTCTCCGACACTGCAATTGAAGCCTTGAATCTTGCAAGGGAGCTTGGACCCTTGCTACCCCTACGGCTCACATGTCAAACGTGCAGATTTTGCAAAAAAAGCAAGAAAAACAATCAATCAATCCCAATCCAACCTGGCGCTGTGCCGACTGAACCGCTTCACCGCCAGTCCCGCCTTGCCCCAGTTGGCCGCCCATGAGGTCTGCTCCTGAAAGTCGCTCGTGGTCGACAAAGACATGGCTGCCTTTCTGTCTCCAATTTGCAGGTACACAAAAACACAAGGGTTTCCCCTTTCAGAACAATCAGCCACTGGGCCTAAGTCTACCTTGGCGAAATAAAACAAACAGAGTCGAAACGCAGTAAGAAGTTCAAACATGTGTCACTCGCTTGAACACTTCACTCGCTCAACTTGGGTCCCTGGAAGCAAGGAGAAGAAGAAACAAACGTAGCAGGCCTGCAGGCAGGTGGCGACAGGTTCAACATATGAGAGATTGTTAAAGGGACTGGTTGGTGTCCTGTTGGTTTCCGTTAAACCATCCAAAGGGGCATCCTATTTTGACACCTCTGGGTAATCTACGAGACAGAAGGCAAATACCACTTTTTTGTTGGGGTGTGGGGGGTGGGGGGCGGAGGTCTCCTAAACCGAGACACACCCCTATTGGTGCAACAAACTCAAGCCGGTGACTTGCGCTAAATGTTCAACACCTTCAACTTGTTTTACCAATGTGTCTCCCGCCCCATGTGATGTTTTGGTCACTTTGAAGGGGTTCGCTTGGTGTCACAGGCGGTGTGAACCCAAAGCTCGACTCTGCAGAAAAGAAGAGCGTGGATCTCACTTCCCAAAACTATGACTCATGCATTCCCTTTTGCGAGAACCTTCCGTGACCCTCAGTTGTTTGTTGTGATAGAAGTCAATCTGTTAGCAATACGCCATGAATCCATCTAAACTCAAGCCTAGGTCTATGGAACTGTATGGCCGGGAAACAAGGAGGGCCCCCACCCCCCTACTAACAAACCGGGCTTGATGAATCTGGGATGAACATTAATCTCAAAAAGCAGCTTGAGAAAAGTCTGATTCTCAAAAGCCAAACACAAACTGCTCACCTGTTACCCTATTACACCGATCCAAAAACACCAAAGCACCCCCGAAGCCACCGAAGCCGCCTGCAGGTGCTGCGGCAGCTGCAGCAGCACCGCCCGGGACCGGTCCGAGCCGTGCAGGTGCTGCAGCAGCGCGATGGCGGTGACCTCTGCCGTCCAGCCGTCGGCCAGGCGTCCACGGCCCGCGCATCGGGACCCCGAGACTGGGAACCACTGGGCTGTGGCTCAAAAAAAAGGTGGAGCTTGGATCCCAAACTTTTCATCACTTTTTCTATGGAACCAAAGACTGAAACCTGCGGTTTGCCCTAGCTCTTTAGCTTTGAGCCACACTCCCACCTCTTCTTTCAGCCAAGGGTCCCAATTCAAGGCCTCTTTTTTCCGTGCACTTGGGCCTGGGTCAAAAAAGACCACCCGGAAAAACCGCAGACTTTAGTCCATGTCTCCACAGCCAAGACTTGGGCTCCCCAACAGCTCCTTCGACCCCGCCTCCTCCACCCCAGCGGGCACCGCCGCCTTCTGCGTCGTCATCTGCCGCGCGAAGCCGGGTCTCACCGACTCCCCGCTCCACCAGCTGTCGCTGCCCATGGGCCCACTGTCTCCTCAAGCGCAGCTGTTGTGGGCGGCCGCCCCTTGCTGTTGTGGGTGTTTTGTTGCCCGGATGTTTTTTTGCGTGAACTCAGATGATCTCAGATGGCCATGGGTCAAAGTCCAAATCGTACCCCCCAGTGAACATCCGATTCAATCCCCACTAAAATGGGCGGGTATACCTAAGAAACCCTGTGAAAGGATTTCCTGTAAATCCCAACAAGGCTTTCAACCATGGTGTCTTGGCTAATGCAGGATTTTGTCCATCAGCGTCCGGTTTCGTGAAGAAACAAAACACGGGGCAGCCCCTTTTTGGTAGTGTCCGGTGTAGTGAATTTGTCCCCCATCTTCGGATTTTGCGGTTCTCTATGTCACTGTTTTGGGGGTTGTGTCCCTCTGTTTTTCTTAGGGGGAATAGATTAAGGATTACACATATTCCGTGGACTGTGTTTTGGTCCCTTGCGCTTCGAAGCAAATTGTGCCATGCCTAAAAGTAGGCGCTTGTGTCAACAACGTCCACACGGCTTGAAGTCATGGCTTTGAAACCCGGCAAAATTATCGTAGCCAAGCAGCCCTCGTCAAAGGAGTCCATTGTCTGAAGGACGCTTTGTCCTCACGACACTTGGATTGCGCGAGACTTGCGCTGATCTGTAAATCCTCCAGCGTACATTGCCCAACTTCTCTGGGCTACGGAGCCCTTCAGGTGGTTGATGTCCTTTTGCCCCCCCCCCACCCACCCACCCAAAAAACGAAACATCCAACAAAGAAAATCCATGTTGTTTGGCTCCCCCCCTACCCCACCCCCCACCGCACCCCAAAAAACACTAAACACAAAACATGGCATGGATTGATCCCTGGTCTGAGAAACGGCCTCCGCCGCGCGGTCTCCGCCCCGTGCTCAAAGCGCGCCCCCCCCCCCCCCCCCGCGCGCCCCGGGCGCGCCCTGGCACCCGCCCCGTCCAACTTCTCGGTTCATGGAGGGCGGCACATCCGGCAGTCCATCCGCTATGCACAAGAAGCCCGTGAGGGCCTGGGAAGGCGCGAGATCGTTGGGGGGGGGCCCCACAGCCCCTTGCCCTTCTTGGGTGGTGTCAAAGGAGAATCACGGTGAAACCCGCCCATTTTAGGTTTGTGTGATTCAGCAAACAAAATTGGGGGGGGGGGGTATTTTCAGACACCAAAGGAAACAAGCACCCAAATGGTACCTGCAGGGACCCGTTTCGAGGTGAGCGGCCGAATTGAGGTACCAATCACTTTTTGGATTCCACAAACTTGGCCATGGCCAAAGGATTCAGCCGAGCCACTAATTTACGGACTGACCAAAGCGCCAGCGTGTTCCAAGGAGAACTGCGACCATCGAGGATCTGCTCTCCTGGAATGCCAGTTCAATCCATCCTTCTCATTTGGGCTTGGCTTTTTTTGAGGGCACCCTCTTCAGAATTAGTTTAGAGGGAAACGACTTTAAAGCAAACCAGGGTCCCTACTTTAAGACAGACCCACACCCACCTCATGTTCAAGCAACCTTGCCGCTAACACCATTGCCCTGCTCAAACTCTGCGCCTTGGGCAAGCAGCATGCCTGACAAGCGTGACAAGCTCCTGGGCGAAAATTGTGGCCATCTAGTACTGGTCCGACAACCAACGTGTCGGAGTCGTGATGATCCAGCACGCGCTGCAGAACATCACCTTTGCAAAGTCACAAGGGGCTTTTTGGTGCACTTGTAGGGTTGCAATCACGCGCGCTGCACTCGGAGTCACTGAGCCCTGGACGAGAACAACAAACCTCCAGGGACTGGTAAAGGATGTATTTGGCCCCCTTTCTCTGTGCGAAGTTCAAGAGGGCGTTGAGAGCCGGGACGAAGGCCTCGGCGAGGAGCGAGCAGCTGGAACGCAGGGCTCTGTCCACGTTTGTGAGACAACAGAAAGGGCCTAACCCCAAACACCCCAAAGAAAAGGAGAGATTCCCAGAAGTATCATGGAAGTGTTGGATAAACCCCTTGTGATGTGCAGCCTGCATCCTCGCGCTTTCTGGAAGCGTCGCATCCAAGTGGCTCCCCAGCACGGCACGTGGAGCACATGAAGGGTTAGCCCCGGCTCTGCCTGTCCACGTGCTTCCAGAAGCCCGAGTCAGGAGACATGCAAGCGGGATGGGCTGAGTCTGACAATCCCAAAACCATAAGTCAGAGCCCTCTAAATTGGTCTTTGTGGATTTGTTCTTCTTCCATCGATCTGCGCAGGTCTGCTCCTCCCATCCGCGAGAACCACATCTATCCGAATCCCAAGCCTCGCGCCTCGGCCGCCACCTGCTTCACCTGCTCCACGTGGCTGTTCACCGCGATGGCCGTGATGACGCCCAGCTGCCGCGCCTGAAGCGAGCGCTTCAAAAGAGCGACGGGCGAGGCAAAGGCTTTGAGGGCTTCGCAGACACTGGCGGGTGTGGGGATGCGTCGGATCGATGAAGAGCGCAAACCCAGATCCTTTTTTGGGGAATCCAATTTGTTCATGTTGTTTTTTGAATTTCTAGCAGAATTTGAGGATCCTTGGGCGGATAGGACATGTCTGGGGTCAAGATTTGAAGCGGGAAAGCAGCCATTTGGACGGGGTCCTGGGTTTGACCCAGAGCTTCCAGGCAACATCCAAATGGTGGGCCCTCCACATGGGCGGATGTCCACACCAATGTTTCTGGCAAAAACGACTGCTCCTCTCCCCGGGTTTTGATTTAAACATTTGATTACCTGCCTGGGCTCCCGCTAGAAGCTCAACTTTTAGTGGGTTAAATGGAAATCTCCACTAAACACTAACAGGCCAAAAAGCTCAGGAACCGGATGGGTGGGAACCACCCACCCACAGTGACCGGCGGCGCGTCTCGCTCTCGCGCCTGGCGCACGTAGGCGCGCAGGTGCTGCACCGTGGCCTCCGGGATCGCCTCCACTTCGGGTTGCAAGTGGAGCCGGGTCCCAGAAACCTCAGCCGCTGAGCAGCGAGATGAGATGGGGCCCATGGGCGTGGCTCCTACGTGGCTCCTTGGGCTCGGTCTCCGAATTTCTTGGCTTGGTGAAGAAGGGAAACCCAGAAGGAAACTCACCGTTTTTGTTTGGGGGGCTCCCGAAATTGGATTTGTCCCACTGGCAAAAGAATCGCCCAATCACGCCAAGCAGCGATTCGAGAGAACTGGAAGTCTTGCTCACGCCTGTTCATTCCGTGATGATCCCTAAAGGCCCCCCTTTTGCAAGCAACCTGCCGTAAACACAGTTCCAGCAAAGCGCCTGAACTGCTCCCTCCACTTCAGCTCCTCTGGATCTTCCTCTTCTCTCTCCAGTTCCTCCTCGCCCTCCTGCCATCGGGCGCAAACCATCAACCAGTTGGATCCATCTCTGTGGGAATCTCGGTTGAATCAAGCTCAAGCCTCGGCCCGAGGTCCCCCTCCCGCTCTCACGCCTTGTCATCTCGGGAGCTGGACACCGACTCATCCTCGCAGGCACCACGAGACCCCCTTGCCCCCTTGCCCCCTTCGATTTCCCCCTTGCCTTTCTTTGCCCATGCCACTCTCATGTCCGGTGCCTCCCATTTGGCCAGTTTGGCCCATCCCACCAAACCCGGGGAAAACCGGCAAACCATCTTCGGTTCAGGCAAGCTGCCCGCGCGTTCTTCAGGCTGGCCCAACAAAAGTACCCGGAAAGTGGGGGTTTGGCTTCGCTTCCACGAGCCAACCTCGGCTTCCGTTTCTCCGTCCTGGCTGCTCTTGCGCTCGAGCGCCTGGCTTGGGGCTTCACGCGTCTCCGCCCCAAATGCCAGGGCCACTGGTACAAGGGGCACCTTGTTGGCGCCCTTGGATTTGGGTTGCACATAGGTTGGGTTGAAACCCATCGCCAAGAAAATGTCAAAGAAAAATAAGTTGTAAAGCCTGGCCAGCGAAATAAGCCAACGCTGATCTAGACGTAGATCTGGCTCTGCCCCCCCCCCCCTCCGCTTCCTGGAAAGTAGCATCTTCCGCAGCCAAGTGCTGCCAAACCAGCGTTGGTTGCAAGCCAAAGTCCCCATCCGCAAACATGGAACCTCACTGCAAAGTTCTGCTTTGTAATTTCAAGAGGTTCCTCTACATCTTGCCATTGTTTGCTTTAAATCTTCACAAGCAGAACCAATATAACATTTTGCAAAAGAAACATCAGTAACTTTACCATTTTCTTCTCAAAGGGACCTCTGGTGGGTTCCACGGCAACGAGACTCGCCTGTCTCTCAGGGCTGAGCTCGGTGTCCTACGGCCGGAAACCCCCAAATGGGGGGCTGAGCTCCTTTTGGTAAAGAAAACCCAAAGGAAACACCAAAAGACTCCCTCTGACATGTCCTTCAACCCTCATCTCATTGGGAGGCGGGCAAAGCAACCAACCAAGCAACAAAGCATCCAGCCAGCCAACCAACCAACCAACCAAACGAAACGAAAGGAACCCAACCCAACCAACCAACCAACGAACCAACCAACAAACCCAACCCAACCCAACCCAACCCAACCCAACCCAACCAAACCAACCAACCAACCATGTCCTTGGTGTCACTGTCGGAGGTATCTCGTCCCTAGCATCGCGAGGCAAACTTCTGGCGTTGTGTTTCTGAGTTTCAGACTTAGAACAAACACGTCGATGAAGAGGCAAAGCATCTCCAGAAACCGGGGTTCCGAGACATTTCCTTTTTGGAATCTCCAAAAGTGGCAGCTTCAATGGAAACCACTAGCCAATTGATCAACTTTTGATTTGGGGAAATGCCAATGACACCTGAAAAACGGACAATCCGTGGACACTCGCTCCTCTCGGAACTCTAAGAACGTTTGAGTTCCTCTAAGTGGGAGGAAACCGGAGCCTAACTTTAGCAAAACATGCCCATACCAACCAGAAACTCGGAATTGTTGATGCGTGTTTTCCCAAAAATGAGCGGTGTTCTTTTGGATCCCTTCAAGGAAACCCCGAAAAGGGTACCCTCGAAACCCACACACACACAAACAAACAAACAAGCAAATTCAAACAACAGGAACCACACCAGCCAGCCAGCCAGCCAGCCAGCCAGCCAGCCAGCCAGCCAGCCAGCCAGCCAGCCAGCCAGCCAGCCAGCCAGCCAGCCAGCCACCAAACCAAACCAAACCAAACCAAACCAAACCAAACCAAACCAAACCAAACCAAACCACCAACCAACCAACCAACCGACCGACCAACCAACCAAACAACCAGCCAAACCAAGCCAAGCCAAGCCAAACCAAGCCAAGCCAAGCCAAACCAAACCAACCAACCAACAAGGCAACAGGCGGCCAGCCAATCAACAAGCCAAACCAAGGCAAACAAAACTAAACCAAACCAAACCAAACCAAACACACAAACACACAACCAAACAGATACTCAAACAAGCAAGCAAGCGAGCAAGCAAGCAAGCAAGCAAGCAAGCAAGCAAGCAAACAAACAAATTCAAATCAAGGAAACAAACCACCCAGCCAGCCATTTAACCAACCAAACCAAACCAAACCACCAACCAACCAACCAACCAACCGATCAACCAACCAACCAACCGAACAACCAGCCAAACCAAACCAAGCCAAACCAAGCCAAGCCAAACCAAGCCAAGCCAAGCCAAACCAAACCAAACCAACCAACCAACCAGGCAACAGGCGGCCAGCCAATCAACAAGCCAAACCAAGGCAAACCAAACTAAACCAAACCAAACCAAACACACAAACACGCAACCAAACAAACACTCAAACAAGCAAGCAAGCGAGCGAGCAAGCAATCAAGCAATCAAGCAAGCTAGCAAGCAAGCAAGCAAACAAACAAACAAATTCAAATCAAGGAAACAAACCACCCAGCCAACCAACCAACCAACCAAACAACCAGCCAAACCAAGCCAAGCCAAGCCAAGCCAAGCCAAACCAAACCAAACCAAACCAAACCAACCAACCAACCAACCAACCAGGCAACAGGCGGCCAGCCAATCAACAAGCCAAACCAAGGCAAACCAAACTAAACCAAACCAAACCAAACACACAAACACGCAACCAAACAAACACTCAAACAAGCAAGCAAGCGAGCGAGCAAGCAATCAAGCAAGCAAGCAAGCAAGCAAGCAAGCAAACAAACAAATTCACATCAAGGAAGCAAACCACCCAGCCAACCAACCAACCAACCAACCAACCAACCAACCAGCCAAACCAAGCCAAGCCAAGCCAAGCCAAGCCAAACCAAACCAAACCAAACCAACCAACCAACCAGGCAACAGGCGGCCAGCCAATCAACAAGCCAAACCAAGGCAAACCAAACTAAACCAAACCAAACCAAACACACAAACACGCAACCAAACAAACACTCAAACAAGCGAGCGAGCAAGCAATCAAGCAATCAAGCAAGCAAGCAAGCAAGCAAACAAACAAACAAATTCAAATCAAGGAAGCAAACCACCCAGCCAACCAACCAACCAACCAAACAACCAGCCAAACCAAGCCAAGCCAAGCCAAGCCAAACCAAACCAAACCAAACCAAACACACAAACCAATCAGAAACTGACTGCCCGCTCCAGGTCTCGCCTGCACCTTCATCTCTTTCTCCGCGCCTGAAGTACGATAATCTCAGGGCCAAAATCCAAATTGAATCGCTCCAGCCTCCAGTCCAGCCTCCAGTCCGACAAAAGCGTTTACAATTGCACCAGCGTAGACCAAGGCCAACGATTGCACACCAGCACCTCTAACAGCATTCCCAAAACAGCACCCAGAACTGCATGTATCAACAATGCGCTCGTGACATCATCAAGCCCCCCAAAACAGACCCTGTGCACTCGGAGCACTCGCGCCTCCGGAGCACTTGGCCATTGAGGCTACAACTGACCATGGCGCTAGGGAAAGCCAAAAGGGCAACGGAACCGCACACTCCACTCTCAACCCAAAGCATGGTTCTGCGCATAGTCAGACCTTTGACAGGCCCAGATGAGTCGGAATCAAAACCCGGTATTCGAATGGTCTACCCAGAACCATGTAAAGAATTAAGAAGGCGGCAGCAGCTATTTATGGTTGGAAAGTCCCTTCCTAACCTTCATCTAGCCAGGTTTTGATGGTGGCCCAGATCACCCTTGTTGGTTCTCCACTTGCCACAGGGCGGTCGGCTCTCGGCTCCGTTTTTCACGGCCGAAGGCCTCAGCCTTCCACCGACCGATTTTTCTGCACTCGTCTTATGTCGGTTGGATGGTCGGTGCTTCTTTTCAACCGACCGAAGGCTGTGTACAAAGCATTTCTTGGTTTGGCTTGGCTGTTCATTCGCAAAATGAGAATCGCGCCGCAGCCCAATGCTGGGTGTGTCATTTCATTTTTAGAGGGTACCTATCTTGGGCTTGGTTTTAGTGGACTGGAGATAAACCCAAAGGGAACTGCCGGCCCTGTCCAAAACTCCAGCGCCGCTTACCGCGGCTCAAAACTCCCGAAGCCAAAACCACGGGCTTTCCCCGCGGTCGAATCGCGTCTCTCCCCGAATCGCTCGGCGAGAAAACTGGGCGACTCGCGCAACAACTTGCGCAACGAGCGAAAGCAAAACGGCGGCTCCACGGGCCATGGACTTTTCAAGTCAGGACTTGCACCGCCGAGTCTAAGACTTCACGGCCAGGCAGGCTCACCTCGATTATGCCGCGTGTGAGCGCTTGCCCCTTCTGACTTCTCACCCAAGTGTGGCTCTTCACGCACCCACTGACTCACACCCAGCACACGCGTCCCTCTCAGCCCCGGGCTCTTCCGCCTTGCCACCCTCCTCCTCCTCCTCGCCGCCGAGGTCCATGTCATCCATTCCCGGCATGCCGCCCATGCCGCCCATGCCGCCCATCATGCCACCCATGCCGCCCATGCCGCCCATGCCGCCCATCATGGCAGACAGGTCCTTAGCATTAGACCGAAGGATCGGGTAGGGCAGACCTTTCGAGGGTCGCAACCATAGGTTCGCAGCCGGCCGACGCTGTCTCATCCCCAAAAGGCAGGTAGGAATTCGAAATCCACTTTTCCGTCCTGAGTTTCCCGCCATGCCGCCAAGGCCGCCCATGCCACCCATTCCGCCCATGCCAGGCATGCCACCCATGCCGCCCATGCCAGGCATGCCGCCCATGCCGCCCATGCCGCCCATGCCGCCCATGCCGCCCATTCCTCCCTCCTCCTCCTCATCGCCACCTGCGATGAAGCCCATGGTCCCAAAACCTTAACCTGTTCATCGTTGATCTACCCCGAAGTTGATGGCCATCCCCAAGTTGATGGCCATCCCCAAGCCCAAGTGGAGGGGTGCTTTGACACAAGGCACTTTTGTCGTGGCAAAAACTTGTCGCACCCTAAAATCCGGCCACTTGCATCACTCACGCTCAGCTTTGCTGAATGTCATCTCGGGCTTTCCAAAAAATGGGCGACCCCCTCATTCTGCCTGAGGGTGGCTTTGCCATTTTTGGGGGTCCCCGAAGCGGGGAAAAATCATCTGCTGCGTAAAATACCCTGCGCTTCGTTCCACGTCAAACCGCGAAAAACTCATGCTGCCGCCTCCACTTCCGGATGACGCTTGGAGCTTGTACCAAGGCTTCTCCTCCTGTGAGCAGGAGCCATGATCAAACAAACTCATGCGGCAAATAGGTTTGTCTCAAAATAAGGGGAACCAAAACATGACTCTCGGTTTTCCTTTTGGCGTCCCCTTACCGCAACCCCGAGAAGGCCCAAATACCAAATAGTCAGGCCCTGATTGTCAGGGTTTCTGAAAGTAATGCGGATTTGACTCAAACCGGAAGGCGAATGCTTTCTGTCTTTTGGCCATACATTCAAATTGGGGAGCCCCTTCAAAAGTGCGAGGTGCACATCAATCCCTACTACCGTCCATGAAGGGCTCCGTAACATTCAAAGCCAGTTCTCTCGAACCAAAAAGGGGGCTCTCAGCTTCCCTCCATTGTTGGTTCGGGGATTTGAAGCCCTGGTTCTTGTAAGGGTAAATGGGAAGCCTCCACAGAATCACCAAATGGCCGGGCTCCAAACCACCCATTTTTCGGGAAGCTGAGGTTCTGCGACCAATGCACTCGATCCTGGGGCTGGAAACAAGTGATCCTTCGGGAAGGCCAAATGTTCGCTGCAATTCGGAGAGGCGAAATTTGAGCCTTGAACCTCCCGTCACCGCGACTGCGTTGCCAGCCAAAGACTCCACCAATGTGTGTATATATATATATAAATACATGCATGTATTTGTGAAGAGAAACTGATGCTGCCAAAATCCTGACCCCGTGCCCGAGAATCGGACACCCGGTGTGAGTCCTTCTTGGTCAGCTTGAGCACCACCATGCCTCAAGTACGGCAGCCTCTCCCCAACATTGTGTTGTGCATCTGCATCTGTATAATCTGCCCAAGCGACGGCGCATGCCTCTGAATATGGCTGTTTCTTTTGAGGGTACCCTGTTTCAGGCTGGTTTAAAGCGAAATCACAGGAACCACGACGATGTTGGTGTCCCCTTGTCCCCCTAGTCTACACACACGCACACTCAAAATGACTGCACGTATTTGCAGGGTATCTTTTGTCTCTCTGCCTCTCATTTTCTCATTTTTTTTTTTCTCTCTCTCTCTCTCTCTCTCTCGCTCTCTCTCTCTCTCTCCCTCCCCCTCTCTCTGTTCGCCTTCATGGAGGGGAGCGTGTGGTCAATCAAAGGGTCCATGCCATGAGTGGCCAACTGTGTCCTGTGTGCTTCGTCACTTCGAACCTTTCTCGCTTTCATATATGCCCGACTCAAACAGTTTCACACCAAGCAGCAAGATGCCTTGTACAAAAGTGATGACATATGGCTACGAACTTTCTTCGACGGACCCTTTGGTGGACATTAGCTGCGGACTTTAGCTCGGTGGTGGCTCTCCATTAAGCGGAGACCCGGAAAGACATCTCGCCAATTGCTGGCGCTGTCTATCAATGCCCCCTGCCTTTGCAGAAACGGGATTGACACAAAATAGGAAGACCCGAAATTGGTGGTTTTCCTCAAACCGGGGTTATGACGGCCCACGCCCTCAAAAACGTGTGTCTGCTCGTGGGCCTTTCCCCCTTCTAAACCCCGAAACGGGCCCGCCCTTTTAAAAGCCGGGTCTGCCCTTTGCCCTGTTCTTAAGGGAGTTCTGCGCCGAGCAGCCCTTGCCCTTCTTGTGGTTCACCTCAGTCCGGTCAAGAGGCCGCAGGTCGTCGAGATCGATCCATGAGCCATGGTGGGAAGCTCGTTCCCGTGATACCAACATAAACATATGGGGCTTGAACTGAAAGGTCCTTTGCATGGGACCATTAGGGAAACCACCAGAAAAGATGTACTGGAAAAGTTACCCATTGTTATTTAGGGGCCTTAAATGGAAGATTGATCAACCCCCATATGCCAGACGCCAGCACGACCCTTCATCACTGGGGCATTCCTCATGCGAACCTCCGCAACTCGCGCCTTGACCCCGTCGATCTCATCCGACAAGTCTTTCAGGGCAAAGGTCCGTCTTCTGCCGGCCACCTGCGCGTTTTCGTGTTCGGCGCGCAGGGAAACGCAGAAGCGGCCAAGGTGCCTTTGCATGGTCTGTTGAGAGCATGGGTCTTCTTGGGAGGCTCGGTACCCCTTTTTGGATGGCAAAGAGAGAAACCTCAAGGAATCGGAAACACACAAAACTCGCCGGGCCCAAATCCCAGGACTCACATACGGACCTTGGTGATGGTGAGGGACACATCCTTCTCGCCCGAGGTCGCCTGACATCCAACCAAATTCTGAGACTTCGAGGCCTTGCCACCTCGGGCCGCCTGGAACATGTCCTCCGTGCAATCATCCAGGCCATCGATCTCGATGTAGATGCTGACCTCAGCGAAGCCCGGGTCAGTTTTGCTGGTAAAAAGCTCCGTTTGCAGAAAGCATTTGGGTAAGTGTCAAAATAGGAGAGCCCCCCAAAGGTGGTGGCTCTCCTTCAGGCTTCCCTTTGAACCACTCCGAAAAGGGTACCGAGCCTCCAAAAAACAGAGGGGATCGCCTGAAAGGTGGCACAAAGCTCAAGGGGCAAATCTCCAAGTAGGCACCTCATCGTGTTTCTCTTTGGCTTCCCTCTAAAACCACCCAAACTTCCTGGAACGAACGTGTCTGGTTTCTGGGGGGCTCCCTAAAATTGTGCCGTTCTACTTCTGCGTCCCTCTACCACCACCAAGAAAGGCCCCCTCCAAAAAGAAAACAGCAGTCTCAAAATAGAAAGCTCCTTTGGCTGGCGGCTTGAAGAGGAAATCAAAAGGAATCATCACAAGGAGACCAACCAGTTCCCCAACCACTTGGATGTCAGCATTCACGTGGGTGTGGCTCAAAATCAAAGAGCCCGGGTTACGCAAGTGTTGGTCTTTGTTTCCATTTGCCTTTTGGTACATGGCTGTGGGTCAAAAACCCTGGATGGAATCAATGACTACCTGTGCTCCATTTCCTAGCGGAGGCCTGCTGGGAGGTCTGGGCGTAGCTGGTGATGGCTGCGGCGCAGGTGCGTTTGACGCTGCCTTGTCCCGCAGCTCCTTCAACACAAGCAGCCCGTGAAATCCGCAGTCACCGGCTGCTCTGCAGAGTCAGCCCTGACGCCCAGACTTTGCGCAACTGCGCCAAACGACTCAATGTAGGTGTCGTAGCTGGCCCTGGGTAGCCAGGGCCTGGATTGGAAGTCTGGCCCAGCTTCCTTTGTCCACATTTCAGTAATTGACTAAGCAACAGTCTTTGGGCAGCTTTTTGGCCCGTTTCAGTTCGTCCAAGGCCAAACCCATTTGCGCCATCAAATGGGTGAGGCCCACCGGGCCAATACAGCAGCATGGGCCAGGCGTGTCTTCAAATTCGCATGATGGCTCTGGTCACCTCCGTCTCTTGCTGGTGTTTTGTCCGAACAGGGCCTGCGTTGGCAGCTTCTGTCTTTCCAATGTGGCAGCATCCAGAAGTACGACTTTGTCTTCATAGCCCGAAGCCACCAAATTAACTGTTGCCAAAAGTAGGTGGCTTCCCAGAGGCCCTGCGACTGTTCCTCTTGCGCCTGTAAAGGTGCAAGTAAATTGCGGAACGGAGCCAGACGCTTTTCCAAGCATCCTTCTCCATTTCGTTTGCCTGCAAACGCTCTCAAGTTTCAACGCTGCGTCTTCCTGCGCCAAGAACGCGGCTATTGCAGGCCAGTCAACATGCCCGTGGAAGTCCAGGCCCAGCCATGAGACTTGCTGCGCTGACATGCAGGGCAAGATGTAAATCTTGGCAGAGCTTGCCGGAAACCCAGGATTCACTGGCCAAGATCCTGCCACATCCTCCTCCACAGCGCCATCTGCATCTTGTCCCCAGGGGCTATCCTTCACGGCTTGCTTAAACGCGTGCCAATGGGTGTATTTGTTACACACCCCCAGCTGGTGCGTGAGCCTTGCCCAGTTTGTCACCTTCCACGGGGGTGCCTGGTGGTTCGTATGGCCCTGTGGCTTGGCCCAGAGCCAATTTAGCGCCTTCAAGAACATCGACAGTCAGCCTCTTTGCAATTTCTTCAAAGTAATAGCTGAGGTCTCCATGCAACTCTTCCAAGCGACTTCATGATCATCAAGCTTGTCCAGCTCAGCCACCAGGGCTTGCACCTGGGCCCACTGGCCAGCAAACCAACCCTGCTGCACGTTCCTTGGCGGGAACGCATTGGGAGCGCCCAACGTCTTGAGCTGGTGAGTGTATTTGCCTGGATAGGCAATCACTTTGAGAACGTCAGCTGCGTCAGCCCCCGCCGTTTCCACACCTCCAGAGCCACAGCCCTGGGCGCCAAAGAGGGAATACCTGTAGATCTTCCTTGCGTCAACAAAAGGCAGGAACTTGGTGAGGCTTGGAGCCACTAGGCAAATCTTTCCGGACAGAGTGCTTTGTGTGCCAAAATCCCATGCAGTCTTGGCCCGCAACTCCCCCAACTCTTCAGTCAATGTCTCCCGCATCCTACATAGTTTTGCATAAAAGGGCTTGGCAGGAATCTTCAGGCCGTACCTGCACACAAAGAGCTGCCAATCTTCCGCTGGGCAGCAAAAGCTTATGGCTGCTGCCAGCTGCTCTCCAGTTGCAAACCTCTCCTTCTTTGCCAGTTGCAAGGCCTGCTGCGAAGCGTCGCTTGGCGCGCCAAGAAGAGGGTGTCCAGTCACACCAGACTCTTGTAAAAAAGTCCTCAGCTTCTTCGCAATTTCTCTCAGGTCTTGCTCGTGAGCTGCAGTCATGGCCGTGTGCTTGGTCGAGGCCAGTCGCAAGGTGAAGGGTTCACGTGCCAGCTCCAAACCGCTGGGAAAGTCGGACTTTGGAGATCTGGTCAACGTGCCTCCGACTTCCCAGTAGTCTGCCAGGAGTGCAACGCAGCCACCAGAAATGTTTTTAGAAATTCAATTTTAATTAGATTTATAGAGAATTTAAATAGAATTTAAATAAGGAACCAATTCAATTAAAATGCTTTTCAAATTCGCATTAAAATATGATTTTTTGTTCAAACCAATTTTAATTCGATTTTAAATAAAATTTAAATAAAGTTCATAAAAAGAAATTCAATTAACATTTTATTCAAAATCGAATTTAAAATAAAATTTCTTTAGAAAACCAATTTTAATTATTTTAATTAGATTTTAAATAGAATTTAAATAGAATTTAATAAGGAAATAATTCTATTAGAATTCTATTCAAATTCGAATTTAAAATATGAATTTCTTTGGAAAACTAATTTTAATTAGATTTTATTTAGAAATTAAATAGAATTTAGTAAGGAAATAATTCAATTAGATTCTATTGAAATTCGAACTTAAAATATAAATTTCTTTGAAAAACAAATTTCGATTGGATTTTAAATAAATTTAAATAGAATTCAATAAGGAAAGATTTTAATTATAATTCTATTCAAATTCGAATTTTAAATATGAATTTCTTTGGAAAACCAATTTTAATTAGATTTTATATAGAATTCAAATAGAATTTAATAAGGAAAGAATTCTATTAGAATTCTATTTAAATTCGATTTTTAAATATGAATTTCTTTGGAAAACCCATTTTTAATTAGATTTTATATAGAATTTAAATAGAATTTAATAAGGAAATAATTCAATTAGAATTCTATTCAAATTCGAATTTATAATAAAAATTTCTTTGAAAAACAAAATTATATTGGATTTTAAATAAATTTAAATAGAGTTCAATAAGGAAAGATTTTAATTATAATTCAATTCAAATTCGAATTTTAAATATGAATTTCTTTGGAAAACCAATTTTTAATTAGACTTTATATAGAATTTAAATAGAATTAATAAGGAACAAATTCTACTAGAATTCTATTCAAATTCGAATTTATAATATAAATTTCATTGAAAAAACAATATAATTTTTATTAGCCCAGCAGGCCTCCTACCTATATTTTTTCCTTTTGACAACCATAGCCACATTTTTTTTGGAGCCATGTGCCAAAAAAGGGAAGAAAAAAAAACACCGAACCCCGCGTGCTTTTCCCCCCCTTTAAGGCCGGCTGGGGTGCCCTGGCCGCCTTCTTGCCATCTCCCCAGCTGTATTTCGTGATGGCGTCCCCCGCGCTGCCCATGTCCTGAGCTCCACTCGAAACTCGAAACGAAGCGCGGAAAAACGAAGAAGCTCACTAACCAAAAGGAGAAACACATAAAACAAACAAACTAAACTAAACTAAACCAAACAAACAACCACACCAAAAAGACAAAAAGCAACAAACAAAACCAAACAAACAACCACACCAGGAAACAAAGAACTAAATAAACACTAATGGGTGCCCCGGATCTAAGTAGACCCCCTGGTTGATTTTGATCGGGGGGTGTCCCCTCTTGGGGAGTCAGACCACTTTTGGAGGAAACACCCCCCTAATAATGGACGGGGTTATTCATCCTGGGTCAACATTAACCAAACAAACAAACAAACAAACAAACAAACCAAGCAATCAAGCCAAGCCAAGCCAAGCCAAATCAAACAAAGCTAAACTAAACCAAACCAATGACAACTAGCAGACAAACAAACCAAACCAGCAAACAAGCAAGTAAACAAGCAAGCAAACATGTTTTCTACACTACACGACACGACACGAAACAAACAACACACACACCGAGCAAACAAACCAATTCGACCAGAATCAAACAAAATGAAACAAGCAAACGCCAACAGTTAAAAAGCAAAAGGAAACAAATTCAAACTTGAAAAAATCCGGGGGGGGAAAGCATTACAAGCCAAACAAAATAATAATAAAACATGTTCAATCCAAGAAGGCAAACACACAAAAACAAAAAAAACACAAATTCAAACAAACTCAACCTTCAAACAAATGAACACGCATGCAACAACTAGTAACTAAAAGCTTGCACACACTCTCTCTCTCTCTCCCCCCCGCTGGTTACGGCCTTGTCTGCATCAGCGTTGGACTTCTTCGAGTCGTCCCACTGGTATTTGCCAGTGACGGTGCCCTGCAAGGCACTTGCGCGTCTTTTTGTTCCGCCACTCAGCAACGCTTCCCTTTGGCCACTCATCCACTCCAGGGTCAAAATCACTTATTTCCAGGTGGGAGTCTTTAGCGCTCGTCCCCGCTTGTCACAGCTCGTCCACCATGTCCGCAAGCCCAAAAGGCTGTGGGTCAAAAATAACTAGAGTAACCCCAAACTGGGTTGCGGCAGATGGAAAGGCCAAAACCGGTCCAAACCCTGGCTTAATCTAATTTTCCCCCACCCAAACGCCATCTGCCATGGGCCAACCATCCAACGGCCTCCCACTTTGCCGGCGCATCTGCCAGCGCGGCCTGGCCATCGCGAGGGGAGACGTGGCTTGTGGCTAGGTCCTCCAGATTTGGAGGTTAGAATAAGTTGGTACCAACTTCTTTCTGTAGTCATTTTAGTAGGGGAACCCTCTCCCTAGGTGGTCAGCTGACATGTCTTCATGTGCAAGTTGTGCCGCAAACTGCAGCCATGCTTGCAGAGGTTCTGGCTTCCCGGGGCCGGTGTTTTTTCCTGGGCTCGGATAGCGGAAACCTGCCCACAACGGCAGGTAAAAACAAGCTGCCTCGCACCTTGATCACCCCAGGTTCTCCCAAAGCCCACACCGCGCTTGCCAAGTTTGCGGAACAAATTTCACAGCCGCAGCTTGGAAGGCACATAGCCCTTCGATTTGGCTTTAAGCCCACGGAGATTGCTGGTTCGGGTGCGCACCCTACAACATTAGCCAGTTCTTAATCACAATTGTAACCTGGTTAACTAACTCCAACCAAGAATTAATGATTTGGATTTGCTATAGGGAAACTTGTTAGGCCAATTTCAAACTTGGTTCTGGCTTAAGAGTGGTTCACCCAGGATGGCCCTATTTAAGCGTGTAACTCCTTTTGAGGGTCCCCTTGTTTGGTCTTAAAAGGAAACCAAAAGGACATCCCTCCCAGCTTTGGGGCTGAAAAAAAGGAAGCCACAAAAATGGACTACCCCGTTGGGGGCTTGGAGCAATTTCAATTGACCACCTGGTTTCGGGGGTCCAACCGAATTAAAAAGACACCCAGCTGGTCGTTCACCAGGGCACCAGGGTGTCCTTCACCTGGTGACCATTTTGGTGGGGTACCGAACAAAAGACAAGCCACCCACTTGGTTTTGTCTGAAAGTAGGGGACCCCCGAAAAGATGTGAGTTCCCCTTGGTTCCCCTTTGAAATCAACACAACAGGGGTCATTAGATTTCCCAATTCAAAAGTTGATGAATTCACTGGCGGTTCCCTTGAAACTGCCACTTTTGGAGGGGCTCGAGGCTCGGATATGGGAGGGGCTTCCAAGAGACCCCCCCCCACAAAACAAAAAAGCACACACACACACACACAAAAAAAAAGAGAAGCAACAAACAAACAAACAATCAAACCAAAAGAAAAGAAACAAAGAAGAAGAACAACAAAAACACGTCGACGCGCCCGCCCACCCGCCCTCGCTCGCTCTGGGGCGCCCCGGCGATGCCGGGCAAGACCTTGCCCTCCAGGAGCTCCAGCGAGGCGCCGCCGCCGGTGGACACGAAGGAGACCTTGTCCTTCCAGCCAAACGAACCTCTCGCCGTCTTATTCAGGTCAGGCACTTGGACGTGAGGCGGGAGTCCAGATGCTAGTCACTCTCTGTTGGACCCCCCCCCAAAAAAAAACCATGGTGAGATAGACCCCCCCCCCAAAAAAAAAAACAAAACACACAAAATGGTGGGGTGTCCTTTTGGGTTCCCGAACCAAAAACGTTCTCCCAAAAACAAGACAGAGACTTCCTGTACGGGAATCCCTAGGTTGGTTCCCAAAACTCTGGGAAATCCACAATAACATGGTTCGCATTGTTTGGGTGTGTCTCAAAACTCGCATAGGCAGGGAATGAGTTGGAATGGCTCACATTGTTTAGGTTAGTCGAACCCCGTTCCAAAACAAAACAGCGGCACCATCAAACAGAATTGGGTGTCTCTCAAAAATGGTTGGACCCCCCCCACAAAAAAAGAAAAACAACTATTTGGGTGTGTCTCAAAAATGGGGGGGCGGACCCTTTGCTAGCTTCTGAATGCTGAAATTCCAGCGCTTCTTGAGGTTTCCTGTTGGCTTCCTTTAAATCACCATTCAAAAGGAGTTTCCCATATTGAGACTGTGTGGTGTCTCTGTTTCTTTCTTTTTTCGTGGGGGGAACCCCCTTTTTTGGTGTGGTTCTGAGCGAAACCAAAAGGAACACCCACATTTGTGGAAGCCCCAAAAAACAAAGGACACACCCATATATGGGTGTGGCTCAAAAGCCAAAGGGCACCCCGATCGGTAAATGGAAAAGCAGACAAAAACATGGAGCTCCCTGGCGCCATAGCCAGATGGCCAGATGGGTATGGTGTCCTTCTGGAACCAGGGCTCTAATCATGGGTGTGGGTCAAAAATAGGTACACAAAGAACCTTAATACAGTAAATGGAACCCAAAACTAAAACCTGCGGTCCCTGGTGGTTGGATTTCGACCCATAGCCAAATGAGAGGAACTCCCACCAGGGTGACCAGCCCAGACCAAGCCCGGGAAACCAAGTCCGCCGCCTCCATGCCCCACTTGGCGGCCGCGGTGGCCGAGTCGCCGCCCCCGATGATGCCCACGCCGCCTTGCCGATAAGCCGTAACAGGCAACCCAAGAAACCAGGAAAAAGCAGGTGCCTCGCTTTGAACGGGAAGCCGACAGGAAACCGGAAGCCAACAGGGCATCGCGTTTGGAAGGAAACGCCGAAGACCTCATTGAGGACTCACTTGGTTGTTTTGGAGATACCTTTGACCGGAGGGAAACCAAATACAGTTAGGTACCAAAAAAATGCTTTCGCCAAAAAGGTGCCAAGCAGAAGATTTCAAACTGAAGCTTTGTGTTGTTGGTGCCCTTTTTGGATTGTGCTTTAAGGGAACTAAAAGGAACACCGAAATATATTTTGGAGGGGGGAGGGTCTCCTAAGCCCAATTTTGTCAACATATACCTGCAAAAAGCAAACGGTAGGCTTGAGGACAACTTCTTCCCCTCACCCCAAGAAACTCGGCTTAAAGCCTCGATCCCCTCCCCCCAAATAACTCGATTCGGCCGGTTCATAGTTGCGCACCCCGTCTTTTCAAAGCCATCGTTTGGAGGCACCCAAAAGAAAGCTCCCACCATTTTCAGCCAACCAGCCATGTTCCTTTGGCTTTTTCAAGGGAACGCCTTGGTGACCCCGGAACTGGGAACCCACTGCACCTCCCGGGTTCCCTTCCGCCTGAGGCGTGCAGAGCCGCGACGGCCTCCAGCAACGCCTGGGAGTCCCGTTGCAACGAGTGCTGGGAACGAACCGTTTGGGGAGGCGTGAAAAGAAACCTCATCGAAGATGGTTTGATGGTTCTTGGGGTCATTCCATGTCATTCCCTGAGAAGGTTTGATGGTTTTTCTTGGGGTCATTCCATCTCATTCCCTGAGAACCAGCAAGTTAAATACCAAGACATTTGAGAGGCCCCCCGTTTAATGGCCTCGAAATCGGAGCGGTTTGGACTCCTGCGACGCCGAAACCGGCCTTGGTGCCCTTGGAGAAGTTGTCGAACTCGAAGACGCCAGCGGGGCCGTTCCAAACAACCTCGGCGAGGCCGACCCCCCCCCCCCCCCCCCCCCCCCCCCTGTTTGGATAGGAAATCCAGGTGAATCCTCAAAAAAATGGAAAAGAGCAGACTGCTGGAAAACGTCTCCTTGCGTAGGAATGCTCTCAATGATCTATCCTGAGAGTGGTTAACACCCACCGCAAGTGGCTATGGCGGTGGCCTCCCATTCGAAACAACCCCCCACCCACTCCAAAAAAAGAGAAATACAAACAAAAAAAACAGTCGGCCTTTATGCCGCCTTCCTGGAACAACAACACGACCTTCAAACCCTTGTGAGCCATGCTCTGCGTGAGTTGTTCCCTGAGCCTAGCTCGGATTTTGCGGCAACATATAGGGCTCGTCCCCCATGTCCCCGCACCCGAATAAACCATATGGGCTACTTTGACACCTTCTCAAAAAGTTGTGGACCCAGTTTTGGTTGGTGTTTCAAGGCAATCCAAAGCAAACCTCAACCATCTTAGGCCTCCATTTGCTGAAGTCGTCCGGGAAAAATGAGAAACTATGTCCAGTAGTGATAGCTTCCCTTTAAAACCAACAATAGAATAAATCATATTCTTAAGCAAACGGAAGCCCCATTTTGAGCGCTTACCCAGGCTTTCCTCGCCCCCCCCCTTCGACCGGGCCGGGCACCGTCTTGGCTTCCTTCACTTTCGTGGCAAAGAGCTCCATGCCTCAGCCAAGCTGCGAGCCAAGGTCTCCCAGCTTTGGGCGACCCGGTACAGATACGCCTCGAAAGACTGGCCTCGCTATTTTACCATGATCAAAGTCACCCCCCAAGAGGTGGGTTAAAGGGAAACAACCCCATTGTCTGACTTTGATAACCCCCAGAAACGGGGGAAAGAGGTGGCTGTTGCTGGAGAAAGAAGACCAAAGGACTGAAGTGGAGCCTGTCATCATGAAGTGAACCCCCCGCTGGAATTTGAGGGGTATGGTCTGGCACAACTCCGGCCCAAAGCGCCCCCCAAAGATCCTTTAGGAAGACTAAACTAGGCCAAAACTGGAGGTGCGATAAAAAGGGGTGGGATGCATCCGAGTGCATCTAAGGAGTGCGCTCTTCGGTCCGCAATCCATGCCTCGAGCCAATTTCGGGTGCATATGGGCATGGCTCAAAATTAAAGAGCTAGGGTTATGCAGGTTTTGGTCCATGTTTCCACTTACCAAAGTTCCATCTTGGTACCGGTTTTTTGAGCCACAGCCATATCTTCGAGGTGGGAATGGCCATACCACTGGCAGTTGATTCGTCCCACAAGCAGCATCGCACCTTCCCAGCCATCGGGGATGCCCTCCTCCTTCGTGACAAGCTTGGTCTCCTATGGTGGCCGAGCGCGTGCACCGCAAACGGGGGCATTGTCCTTTTACACACACACACACACCATTGTCCGACGCAACTTGGTTTTTTTAACATGCCCCACAAGCCAAAACCAATTATTCCGGCCCTCGCAAAACCAAGAGCTCCACCTCTTGTGGCTTCATGTTGCGCTTGTGAACCCAGCCACGCTGGCCCCTTTTTGGGTTGTAACGCGAAACTAAAGGGCACCTTCTTTGGGTCTGTTTGAGACACATGGTTGTCTTTTTTGGAGTTGGTACCTCTTCCGGGGGGTTGGTTCCAAGGGGGGTTCCCCTAAAAAAGATACACCCACACAATCAAAGAAGCCCAAAGGCACGACTCTCCCCGCTCTCCCTTCCTGGTCATTCTTGAATTCCTTGCCGCACAGCCAGTCCACCGGCAGAGTCACCTCGGGGCTAACAATCCACGTCACCCTTCGGCATTCCATGAGTCATTTGAGCTCCCCACTCACAAGGCTGCGAGGGCACTCCCAAATTATAACCATTGGCAAGCAATGTTGTTGTTGCCAAAAAAGCTTCGCAGGCTGATTTTGGCACCTCCAAACTTTCTATGAACGGCCAACATGTACGGCCAAAACTCACAAAGGACATACGGACACTAGTGAGTCCTCTTGCCGCTGACAAAATTGAACATGTACAAATCAGGATATATTGACAACAATGGTCATGATCACTAACAAATCCTTATCATGACCTTCCCACATCTATCCGCAATCTGTACACCCCAAAACCTGAAAAACAAGACTTGGATCCCGCCTGGCCCCTTCGAATTGACCTAACGTCCCCCAGTAGTTTGACTCCCCGACGTCATGGGCCCCATGAAAAGAAACCAAACTCTCGCTCGCATTATTTTGCTACAAAAAAAAAAGACTTTCGGTTCGCGCCTCACAGCCCTTCTCCTTGGCCTTGTCCAGCATGCCCTGCACCATGTCAGCGCCTCACTGAGCCGACGATTTGAACAACCCTGAACATGGCAAGATGCAAGACTAGGTCCTCCAGTAGAGAGGACTTAGAATAAGGGTACAAACTTTTTATGTAGTCTAGTTTACAAGGGGATCCCCCCCCCAAACAAGGGGCAAAAGGACACTACTGGGGGACCTAGAAGAAGCTGGCTCAAGGGGAAGGGGCAAACAAATGCACCTCGCGAAAGCTCCCAGGCTTTGCTGGGAGAAAACAAAAAACCACCATGTCGGCCAAAGCCCCCAGATACTCGGACCCACTTAGCGAGCGATTTCCAAGCAAAGACTCCCTCACGAGTCAGGTTCCACGTTAGTTGATAGCAGGGTACTCCTTTCAACCCGGTTGAGAGAGGCCGAAGTGAGGCGGCGGCCCTTCTTGTCAAAGAGGCTGCTGCCTTGGCTGAGAAAAACTTAGCATCGTGTGTGTGTGTGTGTGTGAACATGGGCGTGTTTTGCTGGTTGTACCCATTTAGGTTTGCTTGAAGGGAAAAAGTCTCATTCGGGTTTGTCTCAAAGATCAGGGACAAATTGCTGGCTTTCCCGTTGGTCCGTCGACCGGGGACCCTTCCACGACCCAGCCCGCCAACCCTAGGAGAAGAAGAAAAAACAACTCAGGGCCCGGTCCGTCAGAACTGCCACAAAACAGACGGCCCTCCCCAAAACAGCGCCCCGCCAAAGTGCGAACCACTATTGACATCCGGAAATTGTGGTTTACCTTCCAAAGGGCCCTCTGGGGTGAGTCACAATCAACTGGTGACGAGGTCTACCCCCAAAAAAATGAAGAATGCAAAGGCTGGATATCCGCACCCATGGCAAGGGGAAGGGTCCCCCTTCACCTCAAGCTGCTCCAAGGCCCAGGCCGATCTTCATGCCGAAGCACACCCTTGGCGAGCAGCGTGATACTTGCGGGTTGCTTGTGGCCTGTTAAATGGGTCGCACGGGCTCGGTGGAACCGTCGGTTGGAACCTGAAAGTTCTTTTTGCGCCCTCACCGAAGGGAAACTCACTCATCAAGGCCTGCAGTTCTCAAATCCTTGTCTTCTGAGTGCCCTAGTCGTGGTGACGGGGCACCCAGTGTAACGGTGAAAAAGAAGCAAGGCCCAAAAGGAGGGAGGTTCGAATCACCCCAGTTTCAAATGCGAGGAAACCCCCCACCGGCGGTGCGTTTTGTCTTGGCTTCGATTAGCGCGCGCTTCGAAGAGACACCGCCAGGCTGCCCCGAGAGACTGGAGTCGAATCGAAACACGCAGGACTTCGCGGAACTTGCCGTGAGTTGCTTGGATCCTGTGTTCATAGTCAAACACCCGTCGTGGGAAAAGGGACACACGACCAACAAAAAAAAAAACAAGACCAAACTCCAAAAAATCGAGAAAAGTCCAAGATGAGCCCTACTCGAGTCACCAACATTGGGGAGGAAAAAAAAAACAAAAAAAACAAACAAAAACATTTTAGCTGGGACCCCAGGGGCCGAAACCGAAACCCCGAAACCGATTCTGATACCCCGACTCCGAAAACTGCGCGCCAAGCGGCTTCAGGAAGGTGTAGGCCATGCCGCCGCAGATGATGATGCCATCCGCCTTGTCGATCAAGTTCTCGATGAGCTTGATCCTGTCCGCGCGTGCGAGGCTCGCGCAGGCATGGCTCCTCCAAATATGGGGAACCCCCCGGCTCCGAAATGGTGGTGCTCCTTTTGATGCCCCCTTAAAGCCCACCTCGAAAAGGGTACCCTGAACAAATACCCATATGAGTAGGTTTGCCTATCTTTTAAAGACAAAGGCAGGCATGTTCATCTTTGGTTTCCCTTCAACTCACTCCCCCCCCCCACAAAGGACACAAGAAAACCGCCAACTGCGGCCCGGGCTTGTCGTTGATCTTTGCCCCACCCACGATGGCCACGAGCGGGCGTGCTGGGCTGGCCCTTGGGCCGGCGAAAGCTTTAGCGCCGGCCTGTCCCACTGGCTCGCGATATCCTCCAAAGTACCCTCTGATCCACTAAAACCGTCCTAGTCTTGCCATAGGGGGTATCCCCTCTAAAACGGGGCTCCAAAAGCAACAGGCTTGGAGGGTCCGGAAAAAACAGAAGAGTGGCAACAAACGAACACTCTGTTCCTTCATGTGATTCCGTATGAGAAATCGGATAGCCATGGTCCGTTTTTCACAAAACGTTCCTTTTGAGGACCCCGAAACGTAAAGGGACACCCTCCTCCTTCGAACGCTTCGCACTGGGGTCCCCTGGCACCACCTGAGAGAAGGCTTTCAGCTCCTTCTCGATCAGCAGACCGGCCACCTGCCGTGTTGTTTGACTTTCGGTGATGATTGAGGTCGTCGAGTTCGGAAGGTCTCTCAAAGAAGTAATGAGGTGCCCAAACATGATCGGCTCCTGTTTGTTGTCCTTTAAAAAAGCTAAAAGTGGGTCTCCCCGAACATGATTGGCGTCCTTTCGTCTCCCGTCAAATATCAAACTCTCATTTGGGCCTGATGCCTCGCCAAAAGCAGGAAGAACAGAACAAATGCGGCCCAAAACCATCGCCAAAGCGTGCCTGAAGCCCCTCCCCTTTTCGGGTGAAACAAAAAAGCCCGACTCAGCGCCTTCTCGGGCAGGTCGCAGCCCACCATGGACCTGGATGGAGTTCCAGTTGGGAAACCGGACAGTGACATGTCTTGCCATCCCTTGTACATGTATGTCTTAATATTCACGCAAACTTACGAGAAAGTTTAATAATATTGTACTATTATTTTTCGGTGTTTCCCACATCGGCAACTCTCCCATGGCTCTCGCCTCTTGGCTGCCCTTGAAAATATCTTTAACCTGAAAATGCTACTCCAAGCACAGCAGGGGTTGGATTTCCCCTGCCAAAGTTGCAATCTGCTGGCCACGCTAGGAGCTCCAAAACAAAAGCGCTGAGCGCGCCGCGAGTGCGCCCTGTGCGCCGTGCCGAAGGCATCGTTGACATACACGTCACCTTTTTGGTGCTTTGGGCGTGTGGTGCCAAAACGTTGCTTTGCAGACATGCAGGAGATACCCCCAGGGATATGGCCATTTGACATGGGCTTTTCGTTCTGCTTTTTGCTGGGATCACAACAAAGGGATCGCACAGGATGCCTGGGGAATATGTTCCCATGAAACCTGGCTAGTTTGGAAATTGCCGGGTAATTTCACTAGAGTGTAGTCCCAAAATGCAAGGGAAGCCATTTAAGAAAGGGAGCGGATTGAGAATGTGTCAATTTTCGTTATTGCGAATGCCTGGCTTCGTGTGGCTTCACTTCAAAATTGAGCCAAAGAGGGTCCCTATTGTCAATGGACAAAATCCTGCATGCATTGGTAGGTGGTGTGCCCTTCTATTCATGGGGATTTATCCAGCCATCCGAACTGGTGCAGGCGTTTTTCTCGCAGAGGCATCACTGAGCATGCTTTGATTTCCTAAGCTTACATTTCCCGGCGTGCGCTCTGTCAGGAACCCCTCGGTCAATTGATGATCCGGGAGCTGATTGGCGTGCCATTCCTGGCACTTTCAAGGTCTTGCCTTTGAATGCAACCTGAATGGGAACAATGTCAACCACGATTTCGGAAAAAACGGCAAGATCCGTTGCAACGGGAACCTGTGAAGCGCTCTGGAGGACTTAACAGACAGCGCAGTCCTCCAGACCCTTCCGCAGAGTCTGGAAACTTCCAAACTGGTTGCCACATGGCTTGCTCGCTTGTAAGTCCAAAACCGCTTGCAAACGCGGCACAAAATCCGAAAGGCCGGTGGAAAACTGGGGCCAACGTGGCCTCTCAATGGCCTCTCCGCCGATCGCCGCATCCGATCGCCTCACTTCTTCAGGTTCGCCAGCTCCGACTTCAGCTGCTCGATCTCCATCGACTGCTTGTCCATCTGACGCTCGTCCTACGCGGAAAACCGCGGAGCCCACCAAGGCAAGCAAGGACCCAAGAAGCCCTCGTTGGCCTGAGGGCAAATCGACTCTACAAAGAGCTTTCCACAGGAGAAAAGCTCGCAGCGTCTCAAAGAAAAGCACCTGAGTCACAACCAAGACCCCTTTGCAGAAGATTTGGACCCAAAGACGTGGAGTCCTGGCGCTGCTGGTTCTCCAGCATCCTGTCGGAAGTGCTGGGCCCGCTGCTGTGGTGGCCTGCCCCAGTCGTTGGACTCCGGGGGAGTCAAAGGGCTCAGGCAAGTCCGGGGAGGTGGCCCCGGGATTTTTTTTAAAAAAAAGCGGAAGCCGGCTGATTGTTCTTTACCACTGGTTGGTGCTCAGGGGTTGTGCCATTCAAGAGTCAGGTCGGCTGAGACCACCAAATACATGTCTTATGTTCCCCAGTCATTGTTTACGGGGGGTTCTGATCGAAATCACAGTCCTTTGGGGGGGGGGGGGGGGGTCAATATGCGATAGGTATCCCCCCGGCTTTGTGAGGTGCGTCCAAATGTCCAAAACCCATGGGTTTCCAGTGACATGGCAAAATGTTTGTAAAGGCCTCACTATACTCCTAGTTGAATCCGAAAGTAGAATCCAAAAGTAGAATCACCTGCTAAAATAACCCAAAAACAAGGGTTTGGACGCAGCTCAACTGAGTCTACTAAAGGGGCATCATCAAAATTACCTAAATAATCTATTTCTCAGAAGAAACCAAGAGGAAACAACATGTTTGGGGGAGATGGAAGTGTCTGTTCTTGATTGTACCTTTTTGTTTGCAGTTTAAAGGGAAACCAAAAGGAGAACCATCCATGTTGCAGGTTTTCCTTTAAAAAAAATGCTTCGTGATTTTCTGCTCAAAGCCACCCAGCGCCGGCGGAAGTCGCCGGAGCCGCGCCTCCGTACATGGCGTTGTTGATCGCGCCGCCGATGACGCTGCCGACCACCACATCGCCGAGGCTCGGCGCAGGCGCGACGACCACCTCGTTTGCGCGGAGGGAAACCAACCATGTTGCGGGAATCGACCTTTGTGCGATTTCGACAGATTCCCTTGAGACATAAATCTGGCTTTGCTTGGGTACCCTTTTTTGGTGGCTTTCAAGCAAAACCAAAAAGAAAACTGAAGCCGTTTTAGGGGTTGCAACCTTAAAAATGACGCGCTGACAGAACCACAAGTCTGGAAAGGCTTGGGGCCACGACCGGGGCCATGCCGATAGCCACGGGCGCAGGGGCCATGACCGGCGGCGGGGCAATCACCGTGGTCTTGTTGATCACTGTAGTCCTACCGCTCAGGAAAACCCCGCCCCGTTGGGTTTCTTAGGAGGATCCCCTGTCAATTCCCTACACAAAACCACCAAGTTCATTGGGCCCCGTTGGAGGGTCGGGACTTGCTGGTAATCAGCAAACAGAATCTTCAGCCATGTGTTCATTCCCGTTTCTTTCCCCCCTCAACTGCCAGGGCGAATCCGTGGTCAACGCGCCAACTCTAGGATTTGGTGCTTTTCGTTGTAGAAAGTCCCAGAAACCCAGGAAAAACGGTTGGTTTCTGAAACGAACGATGGTTGAAAAGCAGGGGGAATCAACCACCCCAAGAGAAGCAATTAGTAACTAGTACGTGGCGCTTCTCATTAAACAGCCGCAAAATCGCCCAAAGCGGTTCATCGTTCATCATTGGGCCTCCTCGAATCGACCCACGGCTACGTCCTGCTGCTGGAGGCGGCGGCCGGCGCCCGTGCCGGCGGCGGCCGGGCCCGCGCGGCGCTGGCCGAGCCGCCGATGCGCCCGCCGGACTTCGCGGCCTGGGCCTCCTGGCGGGAACCAAAACCTCCGTCGCCCACAGGGAGAGTCCTCTTTTGTAGAGGAGGGAACCCATGCCTTAATTTCGGGCTCCTTCTGAAGAAGCTCTTGGAGTTCCCTGATTTTTTGCGAGCAAGCCTTCTACAAGTGGGTTCAGAGGAGCACATGTGGGTGGAAACTCTAAAGGCCGCTACGCCTTGTTTTCTTGCGTGAGCGGTTCTGACTCAAAGCCTGCGGGTCAGGCCAAACAGTGGCCTAACAGACAACATGCCAAATCCACACTGGTTTACATGTGTCAGCCGTCCTTGGGACAAGACTTCTTCCTCCTGCAAGCGCCACGCATGGGTGGTCAAAAGCAGCTCGTGCGCCCTGCTAACTGTTGTCATGTCAGCTGGATTTTCATTACGAGGGACCCATCACTTTGCTAGCGATTCTTTTGTCAGCGCAACCTCGAGGGTGGCCTGATCGTCTTCGCCCTGCGCTTGCTCGTTTTTGAGCAAGTCGAAGGCCCGACTTGGCATCGATGACCGCGATCATGTTCGGGTCCTGAAAGGTGGGGTTCTCCGCAGCGATCACCAAATCCCTTGCAGTCCTCCACTGTCCTCAATCTCCAGGCGATGCCTTGGGCTTTACTGGGAAAACAGAAGTGGCTCCGTCATCCACCTACTCTTCCATGGCTACCCCGCCTTTCCTCTGCGAAGAGGAGTCTAGCTTCGTGGGACCTTGGATGTAGTCCTGCGTCGTGACGCTGAAGGAAAAATCCGCCTCTTGCCAAACTCGTCGTTCAACAAAACCAGCGCCGGCGTATCAGTGCTTAGGCGATGTTTTGGTCCTTGGCGTAGTCCAGAGCGGTGCCTTTCCCATCTCAAGCACCCGCCTTGATCCGAATCTGACTGCGTTCACTCCAGGTTGTGGCCCCGAACCAATTCCTCCACGGGGTCCAGAAGGTGCTGCACCCAATCCAACTCCTCGATCAGAGGGTGCTGCACCCAAACCAGCGCCTCTTAGAAAGTTTGGGTGGCACTGCGCCCGTGCGATGAAGTTGACCTAGTTGAGGTGCAAAGTCCTGGGTGTTGGAACGCACCACTTCGTAGCTGGCATTCCGGGATCCACCTCCCGCCAAGTGGTTGGGCTCCATGGCTAATGAACAAATGTCCAGAACGACGGTCTTGGCGAAGTAGCGCCTGGCCCGTGGCCAGGAAGCGCGAACTGTGGGTGGAAACTCTAAAGGCCGCTGTGCCCTGTTTTCCTGCGTGAGCGCATCTGACTCAAGGCCTGCGGGTTAAGGCCTAACAGACAACATGCCATACACAGTGTTTGTTTTTTACATGCTGTCATATGTGTGTGTGAGAGAGAGAGGGGCTGTGTGTGTGCGTGTGCGTGTCAAAATAAGGGGCCCACATGTGGAGTCAAGGTCCCGCAAGGTCCTTCCGTGCAAAGTCCAGGCAAAGCTGATAACTCGGCTGAACTGTTCGACAGAGTTTGACAGAAGGCTTGCCCTTTGTATTCTTGCAGAACGGGGTGCTCCAAGCAAGGCTCGCGAGCACACACAAACATAGAGGTCGAAAAAACAAAAGACCATTTGTGGGCTTGCAACAAGTTTCCCTGCAGCTTCGCTCACCCAAACCTGTCTGCTTGTTTGCTCAGTGCCCTTTTTGCTGGCGTCCCATGGAGGTGCACAGGCACCAAAACAAAAAACTGGTGTCCTGACGAGGAAAGCTCCATGCTTCTTGGGCAGCGCTTCGTTCTCGTGAAGAAGACTCTGAGCCCAAACGGGTTAGTACTATAGGAATTTGGACCCACAAAAATGGCTAAGTCTCCTTTTTGGAAAAAGGGTGCCCTCACAAAACGTACACACACACAAATGCATGCATGTGTTGTGTTGTATTGTATTCTATTCTAGTCTAGTCTAGTCTATTCTATTGTATTGTATTATACCGTACTGAACTGCACTGTACTGTATTGTGTTGTATTGTATGCAATGCATGTATTGTATGTAGCGCCTGTAAATGTGTGTAGTGTATGTAGTATATGTAGTGTAGTGTAACGTGTGTACTGTGTGTACTGTGTGTACTGTGTGTACTGTGTGTACTGTGTGTACTGTGTGTACTGTGTGTACTGTGTGTACCGTGTGTACTGCGTGTACTGCGTGTACTGTGTGTACTGTGTGTACTGTGTGTACTGTGTGTACTGTGTGTACTGTGTGTAATGTAATGTGCTGTGAAGTAATGTGTGTAATGTGTGTAATGTGTGTAATGTGTGTAATGTGTGTAATGTAGTACTGCATTTAGTGCATGTATTGCATGTAGACTCATGTAGTGCATGTAATGCATGTACTGTATGTAATGTCATGTCCCGTAATGTAAGGTGCTGTGAAGTAATGTACTGTAGTGTAACGTAATTATGTATGTATGTATGTATGTATGTATGTATGTATGTATGTATGTATGTATGTATGTATGTATGTATGTATGTGACACACACACACACACCTATATAAACCAAATGGGTAACCTAGGTACCCTGTTTTGTTGGCTGGCTCTAAAGAGAAGCATCGAAACCAGGTCGAACCAAAGGTTACAAGTTGATTGGTCCAAGCCTCAGAGTTTCACCTCACTGCAGTTCTTCGAAAAGGATACCCCTCACGGCTTTGGCTTTGCCTTTCAAAGCTTTGGGCTTCCCTTTGAAACAACTCCAAAAGCACATCCTCCAGCTGCGACCGTGTCATCCTCTCACGCCCGCTGTGACCTGTCTGTGTCTCCCCCGTTTTGCTGCCTGCACCGGCAGCAGCGCCAGCGCAAAGGCCGCCATCATGGACAGCAGGGCCCCCCCCACGCGGAGCGGGCTCTGCTCACCGTCCTGCGAAGCGGGCGACGCGGGGACGCGGGCGCCTAGAACAGGAGGCTGGGTTTGGGTTGACTTAAATTTGCGTCTTCGTCTTTTTGTTGTGTGTGTTTTGCTGTTTGTTGTTGTTGTTTTCTGCTTTCTTTGTGCTTTCTTTGTCTTTTCCTTTTTTGGGGGGGAGGTTGGCTCAAAAAGACTTGCTTTTCTTGGGGGGGCGGGGATGCCCCAAAAAACTTGTTGGGAGGATATTGCCCAAAAGACTTGAACCCAGGTTCCCCTTTGTGCTGAGATAATTTCTAGGCCTGGACCCAGGTTCAGAAAGATTGCTGATGGTCTCAAAACTGATGGTGGCGCTGGTGCCAGAACAACTAGGTCCTCCAGTAGAGAGGTTAGAATCAGGGTACCAACTTGTTTTTTTCTGTAGTTTATTTTATTAGGGGAACCCTCCCCAAAAAAAGAAAGGGTGAGAAAGGGCACTGCTGAGGGACCCAGACAACCTCATCAACTCACTCGTGCGTGTCATCTGGAAGTCTCACGTCCGCCGTGCCAGTCCCTCAGTCAACTCGGCCAATTCGGCCTATGCCCAAAGAGGCACCCCAACGGTCGTGCACGATCCGCGCCAAAAAACACGTCGGCTCAGAAACTGAGGACGAAATAGCAACTCCACGACAATACATAGAAATATAAGATAGCAATGTAGCAGCAATAGCGGCAATGTGGCCAAGTGTGGCAACAGCAATGTCATTAGCAATGGCATTAGCAATGGCATTGGCAATGGCATTAGCAATGGCATTGGCAATGGCATTAGCAATGGCATTTGCAATGGCATTGGCAATGCAACAATGCAACAATATCAACAGCAAGGAAAATCAGAGCAGCAAAATGGCAGAGGCTTCATTTCTGGACTTGGACTGTAGTAACAAGAGTGGCTGCCGCATCAGCACAAACAGCTCTGACCATTCGCTTTGGTCCCATGAAAACCAAGGTGTGCTCAGCACCCGTCTTCCATTGGGATGCTTCTTTTAGGAACCCACAATGGCAATTTGGAGATCCACAGGCCTGCCAGCTTTCAAGAAAAAAAACACCCCAAAAAATCAAGAGATGCTGCACAGGTCGGGATCTAGGCTTTGGGGTCGCTCGGGCGTCCGGGTTTTAGGCCTCCACGCATAGGTGGCCTTTTGGAAAAATAGATGGCCCTTGGAACAAACTCCATCTAAACCAGGAATCGCCCTCTATTTTTTTAAGCAAACCAACCAAAACGGACACCTATGCCTCCACTCGCGCCTGGGTCTCCGGCATCTCCCGGGCGCCGCGGAGCGCCACGCGCGGCGCCGGCGCGCTGCGGGCCACCGGGCCCACAAAGGCCACGGCGGCGAGGCCGGCGGCCGCCAGGGGAAGGGCCTCGGCACGGGTTGGCCGCACGCGGACGCTGGCGGGGCCCGTGATTTGGCCACGCAGTTCAGTGACCCTGGAAAAGAAGGGGAGCCCTTTTTGGGGAAGACCAGTTTTAGTGGGGCAGCCACCAAAGAAAAGGAGTCACCCCGCGATCTGGTGGGTTAAAGGGAAACAGCTCCATTTTCTGACTTTGATAACCCCCAGAAACAGTCAGAATAATGACCCCTGGCGCAGGCTGACCGGTTGGTGGAACCTCAGACAGGTTGCAACTTCATGGCTGCGGTGGGGCAGGGCAACAACCTTGAAACCAGGGAGGGGCAAGAGTTGGCATGGGTGGCAAGAGTTGGTTCTTGTTGCCTTCGCCAAATTTGGGTTGCGCATCCGCACACAGAGCTCCTGAGTGCCCGGACCATGCTGCGCACCATCGTCGCAAAAGGCGAAAGGGAGGGACAAAAAATTGAGCCAAGTGCTGACCGCTGCGGAGCGACTTGGGCAGGCTTGTTTTTCAACACGGCACTTTCTGTCATGAAAGGGGCCTCAACACTGGCCATTCCAAAATGCGCTAAAGGCCTCCCCCTCTGAAAAGACAAAGTTGCTACTTGTTGATACAGACGATGTGCCGATGTCCCCCTGCATCTATGGAGTTTGGCCGTGGCTCTTGATTCGGGTTGAAGATCACGTTGAAGCTTTGGCGGGTGGGGTGCGCCGTGTTTGGGGGAGAAAAGAACACCTTTTTGGGGTTGTGTTCCAATGGGGAGCCAGAAAAAAAGAAACAAAAAACCAGCCGCTTCTTCTTTCTTTTTGGGGGGGGGTCCTGTATGTTGCGGGGGGCCGGTCCCCGGGTGTTTCAACCCAATTCCCAAGTCACACGCTGAGCTCCCGGCCGAGCTTGGACAGGGAAGCCCTGAACGCCTGCTTCCGCGCTTCCGCGCGTCCGGGGTCCCGGGGCTTGGTCTCAACTCGGACGAGCCCAAGAGCCGGTGGTGTCCCTTTCGCCGTTGGAAAACTTATGGCTCTGGGTCAAAACCAATGGCTTCCCATCTTGGGGTAGGTGAATTCACCACCCATTTTAGCAAATTTTGCAGGTACGGGCTTTTGACCCATGGCCATATGGGCGGCTCGTCTCTTGGGTTGGCTGTCCCTGTGGTTTCCCCAAATCCGCCCACGAGATGGCGACCCAACAAAGCAAAAAAGCAGACCACAAAAGAAGGCTCGATGCATCACTTTCCCCCACCCAATTAACAGGAAGGGCTCCGGGGTCGACATTAAAGGAATCTCCGGGCCTTCACTTCCTCCTCGCTCGCCTTGATATCCTTCTTTTCACCTCAGAAAAATCCAGCGCCCGACCCGCGTTGCAGGGTTTCGGAGCTTGCACACAAGGCCAAGGTGCTTGCCGGCCGCAAACAAAACTGAGTAAGTCCACACCCAAACCTAACGAATCGAAAAGTTCAAACCGGCACCTCATTCCGCGCGGAGTCGGAGGTCGCCCGCGGACTTTTTCCCAGCCATCTGCTCAACGTGCGGAGGCGGCTCCGCTGAGCGCCGGCGGGGTGCCTGCGGCAGGAAGCGGAGGCCTCTTGGACCTTGGGCACATGGGTCAAAATCCAAATCGTACCCCAGTGAACATCCGATTCAATCCCCACTAAAATAGGTTCTGAAATGGGTGGTGATTTCACCTACCCCAAAATGGGAAGCCATTGGTTTTGAGCCACAGCCAAATCAGCTCACCCGGAAAGACCCCCAAAAGGGCAAGTCTCAAACTCTATGCCAACCCAAGCCCCAGCCTTTTGCCCGCAAATGGTTGGTTTCCCGTTGGTTTCCCTGTAAAGCCAAATCAAAGTTTGTGCAACTGACCCGGCCTTTCCAAGTACTCAAGCATCTGCAGCATGGGCTCGAACAAGTGCATCAGGAAGCAATGGCTCAGCGGATTCCTCGAGACAAATGATCAGGTTGTAACTTGAGGGTTCACTTCCTTTTCAGTGTGGCTTAAACCAAACAGAAGCCCCAAAATCCCCACTTTGTGCGGTCCGGTGACACAGCCCCCCCAGGTTTTATCAACACTGGAAGGGTCGTTTTTGAGACCTGGGTTGCAGTCCCGCCTTTCCTCCGCCCCGTAAAGGGGGTCCAATGATCTGGCGAGCTCAGACAAGTCTCCAGTCAGCAAGGAACCAGCCTCAGATGAGAGATGGGTCGGTCCAAATGAGATCAACAAAAACTGGCGGTGGTGTCTCTTTAATGTCCCTTTGAACCAACCTCAACAAGGGTACCCTCAAAACACAAACACAAGCAAGCAAGCAAGCAAGCAAGCAAGCAAGCAAGCAAGCAAGCAAGCAGGCAGGCAGGCAGGCAGGCAGGCAGGCAAGCAAGCAAGCAAGCAAGCAAGCAAGCAGGCAGGCAGGCAAGCAGGCAGGCAAGCAAGCAAGCAAGCAAGGCAGGCAGGCAGGCAAGCCAGCCAGCCAGCCAGCCAGCAAGGCAGGCAGGCAGGCAGGCAAGCAAGCCAGGCAGGCAGGCAGGCAGGCAAGCAAGCCAGGCAGGCAGGCAGGCAGGCAGGCAAGCCAGCCAGCAAGCAAGCAAGCAAGAAAACAAACAAACAAACAAACAAACAAACAAACAAACAAACAAACAAACACACAAACACACAAAGACAAAACTCAAGATTCAACTTGTTGGGAGGGGGCTGGCAAAGGGCCACACGGTGCATTTCTCGACCGCCTTCCCAAACTGCGCTTCAGCAAACTGCATTTCTCGGCCAGAGAAACCGCGCAGAAACGCGAGGTTGCCCCAGGCCTCGCGCGCGGACTCCGAGCCAACAAGGGAGTCCGATCTTCCGACTCGGGGTGGGGATTTCGTCGGGCTACCAGACGTTGGTGGGCGAACCAAAAGGTTTATCAAAAACGAGGTGAGCCTTGAAACAATGAGTCTCCCTTTCTTTGGTTGCAACCCTCTCCTGTTTCGGAACCCTCAGTGTTTCAACAGCAAGAGGGTGTCACCCATTGGTGTCCGGGTGGCTCCTGTTGGGACTCTTGAAGGGAATCCCATTGCGACAGGGAAACCAACCCGGAAACCAACCCGAAATCCGTAGGGTTTGACGTGTGGAACCCGAAAAGTGCGGTCCTTCAGAGGGCTAAATTGGAAAACCCTGCAGGGAAAACGAATTTCCCCGTCGGGACAAAACAAATGTCGGTGTGCAAACCCAAAACGAGGGAGCGACGGCCTCCTCGAGCGAGTCTTGCCGCTCCACCCGCGACTCCAAGGAGAGGAGGTGGATGCGAGCCTCGCACATCGCGAGCCGAGCGCGAGGCTACCCGAAACCCGAGCTGACTGAGGTGGGAAAAGGTGTAAATGGATGTGGCTCACAATTTAAGAGCTAGGGCAAACCGCAGGTTCTTGTCTTTGGTTCCATTTCCATATGGTGCCAAATTGGGCTCCATGTTTCTGAGCCACAGCCATGTGGGTTTGTGGCAAAAAAAAATGGAACCCCCAACATGGGCTTCGGCTTCCTTCTGGTTTTCCTTTTTTCACCCAGCCCACAAGTGCTGCCATCAAAAAAGACTCCCCATGTAGGCCCTAGGGCCAAACTGCGTGAAATCAGGTACCCAAACAGCCTATTCAAGTGGCACTTGTGAGAATCGGCTTTCCCTGAAGTGCGCCAAGTTGCAGTCACCACGTGGAAATCCAGACGCAGCGTCCTGCGGCTGCCAATAACCACAGCTTCCAGTCAATGCCAACAAAACACGAGTGCGCTTTTTCTTTGAATCACCCATTTCTTAAATTGGTTTACAGAGAGGGCAATTTGAGGATACTACTCACAGAAGCTTGGTTTAGTCCAGCCAACATGGCATGCGTCAAAATATGGATTTGGATCCCCCCCCCCGCCCCGTGGATTTCGGCTTGTCCTTTGTCGGCTTCCCCTGGAAACCACGCCCAAGAAAGGGCCACCCTCCAAAAAGGCGGCGCGCGCGTCCCCATGTCTTTTCCGGGACGCGCCATCCGTCCTGCTCCTCTCCAGCAGCTCCTCCAGGAAACCGCTGACATCGCCCTCCAAGCCTTCCCTGAGCTGCGCGAAGGCACGAGACATTTGGTACCGATTTTCCACAATCCACGTGGGTCTGAGTTTTAGTTAGGGACCCGAACTGGTGGACACCATTTGAATTCTAGGGCTACCTTCCCCATTCTTTCCAGGCATCCTTCTTTCTAAAAAACCACCCCAAAACCCTGGGGAAACAGCTGGTTTTTGAAAAGAACGATGGTGGAATCAACCCTTAGAATTTGGTGCCGATTTTCACATAATCCTGGGCTGCGGTCAAATGGAAACTACCACTAAACACTAAAAGGCTACAAAGCTGAGGGGATGGCGGAGCCACCAAGAATCCGCATGAGTCTGAGTTTTAATTCAGGACCCGAACTGGTGGACACCATTCAGGGATCCATGTTCACCAACCACTCTTGGAGGGGGTTCCCGAGTAAAATTCATGGCCATATAGGGAAGCCACTACAAGGGAAACCCCTTTTCTTTGCGTAACTCACTGCAAGGAATAATGATTACCTTTGAACAGCCCAGACTGTCACAATCAAAACCCGGTAAAGGAGTGTCTCCGAATCCCTGCAAAGAAGCAACAAGTGTGGATATGCAAACTCGTTTACTACCCTTCATCTACGCGGTACTTGTTTTGTGGCTCACGTGAGGGTGTTCAAAGGTCTGATTCAGAGCCAGCTGTGATACATGGGCAAAGGAGAAAAGGTCCCAATGTTGGCATCCCATGCGTTTCAAGATTGGCATAGTCAAAATTGGTTGGACAGACTGGTTGGACGTATGCAACCGACCACCAGTCCAGAAACATCAAAATGCAGTCCCGAATCGCTGCCCTCATGGGGGTTGGAACTTAGGGAGGCCTTCTGGGAGCTTCCAGACGTTGGCCCAAGGGAGTGTAAGATAGGCCAAATGGGTATGGGTCAAAATTTTTCACCACCAGGGACTGCAGATTCCAGTCCACGTGTCCATTTACCATGGTTCCATTTTGGATCATTTTGGGTACCTATGTGTGACTCACAGCCAAATCCCTGCGGGGATGTTGCCACTTACGGCTTTTCGGCTTTTCCAGAGCCAATGCCAAGCTGCACCGCGCGCTCCAGCTGCTCGACAGCCTCACAATCGACCCACAGGGAGGCACACCCCCGCACGCAACTAAACCCAAAGAAGGCATAGGGCCAATAGGACTTGAACCCACAACCTCCCACACACTTCCATGCGTGGGCACGCTGCCATTGCGCCACAGCCCCGAATGGCCTAGATTCCCCATGGAACACAGAATTTTGCGTGTGTGTGTGTGTGTGTGTGTGTGTGTGTGTGTGTGTGTGTGTGTGTGTGTGTGTGTGTGTGTGTGTGTGTGTTTTCCCCCGTGCAGAATGTCATCGCAGACCTTGTCATCCAAGCGCTGACCGCAGCAGCACTGCTGCAGTACCCTGCGGCCGCAACACGCCTCGTGAGCAGTTTTCTCGCGATTGAGGGGAAACCTGAGTGAATCACAGGGTTCCTCAAAGGATTCGAAACACAGGCTGCTTTACAAGGCCCGCACTGGCTCCTTTGAGGGCCTGGTAAGTGAGCTGACAAGGCTCGGCATGAGCCCCTCGCTCGGTTGGCTTCAGCCGAGTTATGGCAATCACATGCCTCAGTCAACTCGCCCAGCCAATCAGCCAATCAGCCGGGTTCTTACATTTCCGTTTTACCTTACATAAATTCGGCTTCAAAGAATGTTTGAACCAGCCCAAAATTACCACACATGGGAAAGGATCGTTGGGTCCCGCCTCTTTCGCATTCTCCCGCTGAGCATCCCACCCAGCCCGCCAGCTCGTCCACCGGCGAACTGCACAGCGCGCAGCCGCAGGTGAAGAGGTAGCGAGACCGCAACAGCTGCTGCCTCACACGGGGTCCGAATACACAAACGGCGCCCCAAAGGGATTCATCCCCGTTTTTGTGGGAAGAGTTGAGTGAGCGCCTCATGTCCCGAACCTCAATTCACCATCGACTGGAATTCATTGACCGAGCCTCACGTAGGTCTGAAGCAAACCCATTTAAGTGGAAGCAAAGAGAAACCACGCCCGTTCGTGGGGTTCCATGTCTCTGAACCACTTCCCCAACCAACCAACCAGCCACCCACCCACCCACCCACCCACCCACCCACCAACCAACCAACCACCCAACCAACCGCAAGCCAGCCAGCCAGCCAGCCAGCCAGCCAGCCAGCCAGCCAGCCAGCCAGCCAGCCAGCCAACCAACCAACCAACCAACCAACCAACCAACCAACCAACCAGACAACCAACCTACCTACCTGCATACCTGCATACCTACCTACCCCCCCAACCACCCACCCACCCACCCACCCACCCACCCACCCACCAACCAACCAACCAACCAACCAACCAACCAACCGCAAGCCAGCCAGCCAGCCAACCAACCAACCAACAACCAACCTACCGACCTGCATACCCGCATACCTACCTACCCCACCAACCACCCCCCCACCCACCCACCCCCCCACCCACCAACCACCCACCCACCCACCCACCCACCACCCACCCACCCACCCAACCAACCAACCAACCAACCACAGCCAGCCAGCCAGCCGGCTAACCAACCAACCAGACAACCAACCTACCTACCTGCATACCTGCATACCTACCTACCCCACCAACCAACCACCCACCCACCCACCCACCCACCAACCAACCAACCAGCCAGCCAGCCAACCAACGAACCAACCAACCAACCAACCAACCAACCAGACAACACACCTATCTACACACCTACCCACCTACCTACCCACCCACCCATCCAACCAACAACCAACCAGACAACCAACCTACCTACATACCAACCTACCTACCTACCTACCTACATACCTATCTACCTGCCCACCCCCCCAACCAACCGACCAACCCACCAACCAGCCAGGAAGCCATCCAACCTACCTACCCACCCACCCACCCAACCAACCAACCAACCACAGCCAGCCAGCCAGCCAGCCAGCCAGCCAGCCAGCCAGCCAGCCAGCCAGCCAGCCAGCCCACTAAAATAATTTACAAAGCAGAGTGCCCAAGATGCCCGTTGAGGGTTCCCTGAACAGCAAAAAAAAAGGACAACGGACCAGCCTTGGCCCCCGCGACATCAAGCAGCTACCCAGGTAGGAGAAGCAGACCTGGGGTGCTCCAAGCGAATGCTCCATTTGGCCTCCTGTCGCACATTGCCTATAGTTTGCCTTGTTTTTGGTGGGGGGGCGGCACCAACATTTGTATTGCCTATCTAACGCTCTTCGTGCCCATTTGGGGGATGGTATCCAAACCTGTTCCTCCGACCTGGTTCCATCGCGCCCTTTTCGGGGCCGCGGGGTTCCCAACTTCCTCGCGGCCACGCCTCTTCTCCCGGCTGCACCTCCCGCAGGGTGCGGACCTTCATGAGGCCCGCGGCGAGGCCGTACTCGGCGTTGGGGGCGCAGGAGTGATTGAACCTCACCCGAACCGAAGCGCTTGGAAGGGGAAATTGAAGCTGCGGAGGCTCAGATTGGGACAATGCAGAGCTCTATGTGCTACATCAAGTTGCATGTGAAGGTGCATGTTATCACTATTATAACTTATAAATTATAACCATTCCGCTTGCACAACTGGTTTCCTGCGGCTTTTCCAGCGGAAAACCGCGGTTTCTTCGATGTGCATTTCACGTAGGCCTGGAGCACTTCTCGTAGATGGCGAGGCCGCCCTCCAGCGTGCAGAAGGCGTTGAGGTGAGCGATCGCTGCGGCTTTGGCAGCCTGAGCGCGAGCGCTGGAAGCGGCAGATGCCAGCGATATGTGGCTGGGGCCCCTTCTTTGGCATGGCTTTGAAGGTCAACCGAAAAAGTAATCGGCTTCAAGGAGACAAGGAAGTCAACTACAGAGATTCCCTTTTGAACTCCTCTTGTGAAAAGTGTTTCAACAAAGCCGTGGCATCCCACGAATGCCACTGACGCTTCGTGAGACGCGCCTCCTCCGCCTCAGCATCCAAAGCCACCCGGCCTGCGCCGCGAAGCGCGGCTGCGGCCAGGCTCTGCTCCTGCGGACATCCCCTAGGCTGCCTAGGCAGAACACATGCAAATGATCTTGCCGCCATGGTTGCTATACGATACCTGTTGCGATCTAGGTGCTGGCCACGTGAATCACACAAAACTGAGACGTCGTATTCAGCGGGCATGGGGTTTGCTCCGACTGGCCAATTGGGCCTCACGTGGTCAATTCTGAGGTCGATTTGTCCATGTCCCAACGTACAGCTGTGGGTCGAAACCCTGTACAGCCTGTACCCCTGGTGAACATCAAAATTGGTGGCGAATGGATGCTCATCCACCCCAACATGGGATCGCCACAGGTTATGCAACCCGTGGCCATGTTGGCCAACGCGGTGGCGGAGCGCCTCCGCCCCGAAGAGGCGCAGCCATGCGCGGCGCCGGCGGCATCCCCCCGGCAGCAGCAGGAAGGCCCTGGCCGCCGCAGCGGCGCGGGCCTGGCCACTCGCAACCCCCCACGAAAAAAAGGGATGGGCCTGGCCCTTTCTTAGGGGAACTTTCTCTTGGTTGGTTTTCAAGAGACCCTTTCTTACCCTCTTTTGGTTGTGTTTTTCAAGGGAGAAAAAAAAGGAAAACCGAGAAATAGTGTTAGGTCCCAGAAAACAAAAGAGAAAGCCCGTTTTGCGTGGGGGGCGCCCTTTCCCCAGCCTCCACAGATGCGGCGCCCGGTGGTGTGGACCAACATGCCAGCGGCGCCTGCAGATGCACCCTGCGAACTCGACGCGCAACTTCACCAAGTTCTGGGCGTCTCCTTTCTCGCCCACACCCTCCTTCCCCCCCAAAACAAAACATAAGATTATAAACAAATGACTGGGGTGTGTCCCTTTTCCTTCAGCACCAAAAATAGGGGACCAACTGAAAACCAGAAAAAGGGTGTCTCTTTCTTCGCCAAGAAATGGGTGATTCTCCCTTGGGAGAATCCTCCGCTTCGGGGAGGCGAGCTCAGGAAAAAAGGAGCAAGAGCGAAGGGAGGGGTTCCTCCACCCAATATCTGCTGTGTGTGTGTGTGTGTGTGTGTTTTTTTCCAAACAAAAATGGCCAAAGCCAATATGCATTGGGAGACTTGGTGTTGATATGCTCGTTTTGATATATGTGTGAATGTTGTGTTGGGTTTGCCCAACGTTCCATTTAGAGTCAGGCAGACGGAAGGCTTCCCTGGGATTTTGCCGCAACACCCGCATCCCCTCTGGAGCTGGTGCCAAAATATGATGTTACCCAAACAAACATGGAAGAAATTCGAGTCCCCAGTTTTCGGCAATAGAAATTCAGAGTGTCCGCAACCCCAAGATCAATTTGCCCATGGGCGTAACAGTAAACTTGGACCGAGTTTTCATAAGTTCTAACACACAAGTGCTTTTGACGAGGCGAAGCCTGACTATAAACATCTGCATGTGCCACGGTCAACATAACCTGTTTCTCCATCAGGGCATTGGACAACTAGTGAGTCCTTTGGTTGGAAATCCACTGTTGCCCAAGCACATACAGCCTCCCCCCGCCCGCCCCCCTCCCACCCTAAACCACCAAAAGCCCTGAAAAGGACAGTGGTTGCAATGTGCTATTGCAACTTGGGGAACAGAGGCCGGGCTCGTCAACTATTGCAGCCAGGAGCCGCTACAAAAACAGAAACCATGGAGGTGGTCACAAAATAGACCCTACTCCCCCCCCCCCGTACCCCTGCCCCCCCACCTCCGCCACTCCCCCCAACCCCTGCCCCCCAAAACGCCTCGCCGGGCTCCAGCACCTCGTTCTCCTTCAGCGCGCAGGTGGCTACCCAGCCCAGGCCGCCTGCGGGCTTGGCGCGGTGGGCTGGCCGATGTCCAGGGGCGAGGTTCAGGTTCTGTTTCTCTGCGGACATGTGGCCATGGGTCACAACCTATGGCGATTCCTTTTTGGGGCGGATGAACACCCATGTACCACCTATTTTGATGTTCACCAGGGGTTTCCTGAAATTTGACCCACAGCCAGGTCTCTTTTGGTTGGGTTGGTTGGTTGTTGCTTGGCGTTGCTTGGTGGCTTAGTGTTGCTTGGTGTTGGTGGGTGTTGCTCGGTGTTGTTTGGTGTTGCTGGGTGTGGGTGGGTGTTGCTCGGAGGCTTGGTGTTGCTTGGTGTTGCTTGTTGGTGGGTGTTGCTCGGTGTTGTTTGGTGTTGGTGAGTGTTGCTCGGTGGCTTGTTGTTGTTTGGTGGCTTGGTTTCTTGTTGGCTTGCTTGCTTGCTTGCTTGCTTGCTTGCTTGCTTGCTTGCTTGCTTGCTTGCTTGCTTGCTTGCTTGCTTGCTTGCTTGCTTGCTTGCTTGCTTGCTTGCTTGCTTGCTTGCTTGCTTGCTTGCTTGCTTGCTTGCTTGCTTGCTTGCTTGCTTGCTTGCTTGCTTGCTTGCTTGCTTGCTTGCTTGCTTGCTTGCTTGCTTGCTTGCTTGCTTGCTTGCTTGCTTGCTTGCTTGCTTGCTTGCTTGCTTGCTTGCTTGCTTGCTTGCTTGGCTTGTTGGTTGTCTTGTTAACGTTGTTGGGTGGGTAACCTTCACCATGGTGGTTGGTGGTGTAGTTTCTTGTCGGACTGTTGGTGAAATGTCTAAGGATCCCTCATGGTCTCCATGTATAGCTTGGTTCTTGAGTATTGCTTCACAATGGAAAGGTTTGGATTTTTAGCTCTGAAACTGTTCTCCCCGAGAAAAATGGGGCACTAGAATCCCGAAGAAAGAAGGGCCGGAAGGCTCGTCAAACGTGGTGGCGAGTGAAAGGAAAACCCACTCAGCAATCCTGGACCCTCGCGGCAGCTGTCGCGCCCGCTTTTGCGTTTGCCTTCTGGCCTCTTGCAGAAGCAACTCGAAGGTTTCTCAGGGTTCCTATCGGGGACCGTCCGGCGGCCTGACAAAGCTTTGGGCCTGCCAACAGTCCGAGAGATAGACTCTCCCAGCAGGCGAACTTGCGCCTTGACACTTGGGCGCGGCCGGCCTGTACAAGACCGCCAAACCGAAGCTGCAGTGTGCATGCCGCCCTTGCAGGCAGGCGAAGACCCCAAACAAACCGATGTGTCTTCAACGGGCGCTGGTCCCCCGGTTGATGGGTGATCCATCCCAATCCAGTTCCTCAGCCGCTCTTCAGCTTGGCCTCCACAGCTTGGCGGCTCTTCCGAAGCTGCGCCTGGAGTCACCGGGGGGGGGGGGGGGGTTTGTCAAAAACCTACCCAACAAGTGTAGAACCTCCATTGCACATGAGCATGTGTCAAAGGGAGTGTTTCCTTTCCGGTGTCCTGTTAAACCAACAAAAGAAATGACAAGAATTGGGCACCGAGCCTCAACAAAACACACGCACATGCCTGAAAATTCCTGGACTTCACCCCTTTGCCCACCCCAAACCTGTGAACTGACCTCCACCTGTTGCGCGCGTCTCAAAACCGAGGACCCCCAAGTTCCTTTTGGTTTCCTCTTGCTTTTCTTTTCGTGACCTGACCGTCCAATTGGCTGTGGGTCAAAACCAATGGTCCCATTTTGGGGTAGGTACATAAATGTTCACTGCACGGGCTTTTGACCCGTGGCCAAATAATTGGGTCCCCCAAAAACTTTTGGCGGCCGAAGGCCTTCATGGCTTTCAGCAGGAAGACCACCAGCAGCAGGTTCAGCACCACCGGCAGCGCCGCCTTGGCCGCCTGCGCCCAGGAGCCGCCTCGTTTGCAAGCAGCTCGGCGCACCCCGCTTAGGAACTCGGTGGAGGCCCTGAAAAATAATGGGGTTTAGGGTTAGGGTGTAGGGTATAGGGTTTCCAGAATTCAGAGGGTTCTGAGGGTACACCTCTTCGCTGGCAGCTTTCGGGAATCGTCCGGCAACCCTCCGGTCCGAAATGTATGTTAATACAAGAACGGCACACCCAAAAACGAGTTGCGGGTGGGGCACCCTCGCTTGTACATGTTTTAACACCCCTGGTTTAAACAACCTCCTTTTGGTTTCCCTTTAATCAAGTTTGCCCCACCCCGTTCCGTAAACCGGCAGAGCAAAGGGTAACTTGTGAAAATTCCTTGAGGGTTGCAGCAAGATGAAAGTAGTGAGAGATTTCCACTTCAATTTCCTTCCCTTTCGGGAAGAAACGTTCTCTCCCGTCCTTTCAATCGGGTACACGTTCAAGGCGGTCCAACAAATGGGTCAAACAAGGGTACCGAGACCCGAAACACACGCAGAAACAAACAAACAAACAAGAAAACAGACAGACAGACAGACAGACAGACAGACAGACAGACAGACAGACAGACAGACAGACAGACAGACAGACAGACAGACAGACAGACAGACAGACAGACAGACAGACAGACAGACAGACAGACAGACAGACAGACAGACAGACAGACAGACAGACAGACAGACAGACAGACAGACAGACAGACAGACAGACAGACAGACAGACAGACAGACAGACAGACAGACACAGACAGACAGACAGACAGACAGACAGACAGACAGACAGACAGACAGACAGACAGACAGACAGACAGACAGACAGACAGACAGACAGACAGACAGACAGACAGACAGACAGACAGACAGACAGACAGACAGACAGACAGACAGACAGACAGACAGACAGACAGACAGACAGACAGACAGACAGACAGACAGACAGACAGGACAGACAGACAGACAGGACAGACAGGACAGAAAGGACAGACAGGACAGACAGGACAGACAGGACAGACAGGACAGACAGGACAGACAGGACAGACAGGACAGGACAGGACAGGACAGGACAGGACAGGACAGACACAGACACAGACACAGACACAGACACAGACACAGACAGAGACAGACAGAGACAGAGACAGACAGAGACAGACAGAAAGCAGACAGACAGGACAGAAAGGAAAGAAAAGACAGACAGGACAGGAGAGGACAGGACAGACAGGACAGGACAGACAGGACAGGACAGACACAGACAGAGACAGACAGAGACAGACAGACAGACAGAGACAGACAGAGACAGACAGAGACAGACAGAAAGCAGACAGACAGGACAGACAGGACAGACAGGACAGACAGGACAGGACAGGACAGGACAGGACAGGACAGGACAGGACAGGACACACAGACAGAGACAGACAGAGACAGACAGAGACAGACAGAGACAGACAGAGACAGACAGAGACAGACAGAGACAGACAGAGACAGACAGAGACAGACAGAGACAGACAGAGACAGACAGAGACAAACAGAAAGCAGACAGACAGGACAGACAGGACAGACAGGACAGACAGGACAGACAGGACAGACAGGACAGACAGGACAGACAGTACAGACAGGACAGACAGGACAGACAGGACAGACAGGACAGACAGGACAGACAGGACAAACAGAACAGACAGGACAGACAGGACAGACAGGACAGACAGGACAGACAGGACAGACAGGACAGACAGGACAGACAGGACAGACAGGAAAGACAGGACAGACAGGACAGACAGGACAGACAGGACAGACAGACAGACAGACAGGACAGACACTACAAAAACAAGCGCACACACACACACACACCCCTCCTGTGCCCGGCTTGGTGGGCGCAAAGACTTCCTGGAGGTCCTTGCAGGCACTGCCCATGTAGATGTTCTGGATCGCATAGAAGGGGGAGAAGATGCAGCTCACGGCCATGATGGGCAGGTACCCAATGTCCAGCACCCCCAGGCCATAGTTCTTGACACTCCTCGAGAATTGTCGGGGCCCTTTACTCGCTCACCCGAGCTGACTCTTGGTAACATGGTGGGATAATATGTTTGTTGGCTCCAACACGGGGTATAAGTTGTAAAGATTCATAGCCGCGGAAAAAATGAGAAAAAAATGGTGCCACTGGGCAACTGGGACTCAAAGGCGCAAAGGATCCCCGGACCAGGAAGACCATCTTGTATGGCTCGTCCTTGGCGGCCTCTGCCACTAGACTCAGCAGCTCCGAATTCTCCACGAAGCGTTTCCTCACCCACTCTCTGAAGACGTACTTCGCCAACGTTATGGCGATCAGGTTCGCGACGAACTTTGCGGCGCAGGTCAGGAGTAGAGTGCCTATCAATCCATACTTGGGGACAAACAAAAAGCCCCCTGAAAACTCCATGGCGGTGGTCGGCACTAGCGCAACCACCCCTACCACTGTGAATGCCAAGTAAGCCGTCATGGCATACTCTGAGGATTCAATGTAGTAGATGGCAGAGCGCATCGCATCTTTCATGAGCTGGCCAACCCCCAGGTAGCCATAGACCGCATAAACCCCGGCTACCAACAGACCTCCTGCAGCGATTTGCAGAGCCAAAGAAAACGCCAGCCGCTGTGGGCTACGAGACATCGGCACGTCCGGGCCCACGGGCCCACAGGCGAAACACCGCCCACACAGCCGAGATGGCGATTCTCCCTAGTGATTTGAGCCAGCGCTTTTGTTAGCACAAATGGCAACAACAAGCTGGAGGTTTTTAGGACTAGCGCGAGAGACGTTCGCTCTTGCGTAAGAAGCGCCGGTGGCAATTTGATGCTTCACAGTTGCAACCTCCCGCCTGGCGTCTCTCGCAACTCCAGGTTACCCCAGCGCTTACCAGCCGCCACTGGGCGCCACACGGACTCCCGACGCGCCTTCCTTCCCGCTTTGCGAACCATGCGCAAAGCGCTACGCTTGAGCCCGGACCGCGCCGAAAATGACGGGCGCCGGAAAATCGACAACATCCGAAAACCCGACGACGAGACTGAGAGGCGGAGCAAAACGCCTGACTAGCTGAGCCGGTGGCCATCCTCGCCCTTCTCTGTGCGTTTGCCCTGGCACATGTCTTGGGTGGACTCTGGACCCTGTAGGGAAAAAAGAGAAGAACATGGAGCAGCCTCCTCCTCCAGGTGAAAGCGCAGGTTCTCTAGCAGGATGACCTCAGGAGTCATGCCGATCGACGAGCTCTTGCGCGAGGCTCCGTCTCGGGAGAAGCTGATGAAACACCGTGAGGCCTTCAGAAATCCCCAATTCATGCATCATCATGGACCCTGGAGGCACCCCTCGGTTCCCGGAGAGACACCTCGTTGCACCCATTTTCACGCATCCCGCAACAAGACTCTGGCAGCGGCGAAATCTGAATCGAATGCTGAAGAGCCGAGGTGAGCACAACAAGCTTACCTGCTGCGCACGAACGACAACCTCAGGGCCCCTCTAAAAGATCCCGAGATTGCTTCTTCATTCCTGGCATTCCACCAGTGCCAGCTTCTGGCAGCTGGGTCAGAGTTCAATGCTCCAGGCTGAACACCCTTCTTGTCCCATAGCATCATTCCACTCTCGCCAGGGTGATGCATGGAGCATGGCATGCCTTAAACCTTTCTTGTCGCTTCCTCTGTATCTGTCGCAGCCGGCGCGAATTAACACGCCCAGCCCGCGGCATCTGAATTGGGTGCAACTGCAATGACCCAGTTTCCAGGCATTGCCATCCCGGGCAGGGAGATACCCTGCCATCGGCTCTTGCGTAGGCCGAACCCACATCCTCTCCAATGCGATTCTTGTGGCCTGGGTCCGGCCCTCGCTTGCCCGGAAGGCTTGACCCCTGTGCAGCAAGCGTCAGGCGGCCGGGCGTCAAGGTGTCAAGGCTAAGGATGCCGCGCCGAACTGGCGCAGCATGTTTTGCCCCACCGCCAAAAGCGAAAATGCGCATCTGTCTTGCTCTTGTCACGTTTTCTGTGCTGGTCTCTTTGCGGTGGGCAGGCGCAAAAGTGCCATTCAAACAAAACGAAACCAAGGACAGTCACTCCCTCCGAACTCGCCCTCTGAACTGGAAACAAAGTTGCGCCTCCAGTCAGAGGGATTCGGGACCTTGAAAGACTTGAAAGGGAACGGGGACTTCTCCTTGCCTTGTGGTCACGTCAAGCACCAAAGGGCGACGTGGAAACCGGGTGACAAAAGCCGCCAACAGGAGGATGGCTGAAAATGTGCCACTAGGACTTCAGAGCAAAGAGGCACGTGACGTGGTCAAAAGCAAAAAAGATGTTGACATCAAAGCCAACATGTGATTCTTCCTCGTAGCACGCGCTCAGCATTGGCGGCGGTGAAAATGTATATCAACGATCAGATCGCTGGCCTGTTTCCCAGGAAGCATCGGCCTTAAACAAACCAACTTACCTGTACCCAACAGCGGTTTTGGCACCGCGAGCTCGCGCACAGAGCGAGCTGCTTACAGCTTCCGCCCGCCCATAGCGAGTCGCCTTACGGACATGCAAATGCGGTGCACTGTCTCTGGGTCGTCTTCCTCCTCGGAATCTGTCCTTGGCTCGGGGCGAAGAAGCTCAGGTGAGTCATACCAAGCTACCAGGGCGGCCGCACCAATTCTGGTTGGGACATACTGACCTTCGCTTACCGTGGCTCAGGTGATATCCCCAACTGCATGAGGCTCATTTGCGGAGCGCTCCTAGGAACGGACCCCATGCCACACATCCCTGGAACCCGGCTCCAAGCTGGAACCCTCCACGGAACCGGAACCGCCCCGTGCATCGGAGCCCTCCTCGCAACCGGAACCGCGGGAGCAAAGTGTACAACCCTCAAACGCAACATACCCTCACAAACATGAACCCATGAGGCTTGGTCGATTTTCCTTGGGATTCGGTCTCAAAGGCTCCAGCGACGTCTTTCAGTGCCAACTCCGAGGCTCGCATAGGCGCCAGTGGCGTATCGGCGCGCCGCCATAGCCATGCGGTGGACGGCGACCTCGGAGTCTGGCTCCTCAGTCGCAGATGCTCCAAGTTGCCAAGGGCCCAAGGGCTTCGAAGGTTTCCCCTTTTTTCTGAACATGTCACCCACTGAGTGGAAACTCCAAATTGTCTCCAGCCTGAAAAGGACGCAATTGATTTTCTCCCTTCGTGGGCCGTCCTCGGCCTCGTCGGCTGGCTGAAAATTGCCTCAAAGGCCGGGCAATGGCTAACCCGCAAGGGCTAACCATGGCCAACCAGCTACATGTTCCAACATCCAGGGTGTGATGTTTTTTTTCTTGGCCCTTTGGAGTTCGCGAGCTCCCTATTGAATTGTTTTTTCGAACGCCAATGGACAGCTCACAGCAGCGTCGCCCGGCGGGTTCCCAAACACGTCCTCTTCAGGCGGTGTTCCCCTTCTCTTCGCGACACGGTGGCTCAAAATCAAAGAGCTAGATAGAGTTACGCAGGTTTTGGTCCATGCTTCCATGTTGGTACCGGTTTTTTGAGCCATACCCATGGCGAGCTTGGGCCGGGAAGGTTCCCCGACTCCCCCAACGAAGTGGATCGACCAACGGCTTCCGTCCGACCCGAGGCGCCCTCACGCTCCAATTGGGCCCGTAGAACTGCGGCCTGGCGATGGCGTGAGACTCCACGAATTCTAAGTGGCAAAGAATCCTCAGCGGATTAGCGGCAAGTACCCGAAGCAACGGATCACGACAAAACCCAGTGAAAGAAGCAAAGTGGTCTAGCTTGCGAGCCAGGAATTTACGTCTGCTCAACCAACAGTTCCCTGCGTTTGACCGCATGCAATTGTGGACCAGGTACAATTTTGTGTGTCTGTCTTCTCAAGGCAAACCCCCTCTTGAGGGCCATCACCTGACCACTTGACGCCCGCTGTCTTGGCTCCCAAGCGACAACTTGCCGCCTTTGCTTTCGCGATCACAGACTTCCCTCTGCAACCGTTGGATCAATCCGGTGGTGTCCAAGGAAAACTCCCCTGGTCCAAACAACTCAGAAATAGAAACTCACAAGTACCACAGCCCCAGCAGCGGTAAAGCACGGAAGCTGACTGAACAAGAGGGCCCAACGAAAACACCAAAACACAACAAGGAAACAACCAGGGGGCAGCAAGCAACCCAAACCAAACAAAGGGTCGGCAACTCTGCAAACAAAAAGTGCGGAGTCAAGACCAGTAAACCAAGACAAAAGTGGGGAGTCAAGACCAGAAGGCCCAGACAACTAAAGCAAAAGCAACTCAGGTTGCAGCAAAAGGAACGACCCTGTACGGTCGCAACATTAGCAAGGCGGAGGATGGTATTTAAAAAGAAAAAAGACCTGGGTGACACGCCGACCCCTCCATGTCTGGCCCAAGAAGAGTCATAGTCAAGACCCGGTAGTAAAATCGTCTACCCAGAACTATGTGAAGAATTAGGAAGGCCGCAGCTATTTATGGCTGGGATTGTCCCTTGCTAACCTAACCATGGTTTTGAGCCAGTGGCTCAGAAATGAAATTGAGGGACCCGCTTGCTCCTCGGCAGAACCTTACCCCGGCCTTCAGCTCCTGGAAGTCCACAACTGCCACATCAGTGGCTTCTGTATCTGGAGAGTGCTGGCGCGACCAGATGCGAGAGCCCGCCTGGGCCGCAGGCCAAGGGAAACCGGGCCGTTTGGGGGGGAGTTTTGCAGGCGTCCCGCGGCCCGCGGGGGAAAAAATGGGGGGGCGATGTTGCTGGGAGATGTCAGATACTCGCTGCCGCAACGCCATGTTGAACACTTGGTTACCCAAAGATGGATGGAAGCAAAAACAAGGGCCCAAGCGCTCCATTTCACTGGCCACATTTCACCCATCCCAGCCTCGCTGGGGAAGGCCGTGCTGTCATCCCCTGAGCAGCTTCCAACGAGGCAGAGGCTGATTTGGGAGCTTCCCGCCAAATGTTGGACAGCTACAAACTGGCAGATTTGCTTGTGGCTTCTCTTGTACAACTTCTGGGCCTTTAGCACTCTTGTTGGGATATCCGACTTTAAAGGCCCCTCCAACCGGAAAAACAAAATCGGGGACTGCACGTTGGGGAAACCACCCAAACACACCCGACCCCACCCCACGCCCCACCCCCACCCCCAGCCACCCACACCCATGCATCCCAGCGGCTAGGCGACGCATCGGCCTTCATGTTGGTGAAGTCCTTGATTGGTTGCAAACTCCAAAAAACAGTTGAGGGGGTCTCTTCCAAAAGCACCAAGTAAAAATGGGAACCCTGCTCGCTGCCACGCCCCTCTGTCTTTCCCTTGCAAAAGGAAACTCAGCTGCCAACCGGCTCACATTCATGTGGTTAGGAACCTGACGCCCCCTGAGTTGAGGAAAAGAAACACATCGAACACGGTGTCTTCAGCCCTGGCTGTTCCCAGAGCTTCCCAAGTCCCCCAAAACGACCCACCCCCAAGGCCACCCCCCCCCCCAAAACGACACACGCGCCGAGGCGCAACTGCTGCGAGCGAGATGGCCATCGCCTGGGATCGAGGTCCGAGACGGCAGAAGACGGCAGCATTTGGGTGTGTCCTTTTCTCAAAGGCTCTGAGTGGTAGTTGTGTTCGGTTCTTGTTCTGTTTGTTTCTTTTCGTTTTTTTTTTTGGGGGGGGGGCCCAACAAGCGTGATGTTGATGAGGATTTATTGTTTGTGTTCCTCAAGGTTTGTTGTTTTTCTTCAGGTTTGGCCATTCTCCTAGTAGATGTCTCCCATGCGAAAGCTTTCTGACGGCATCGCCGAAGCAATTCCCGCTGCGCTCCTTGTGTTCGCGCTGTGTCAACTGCGGCTACCCGGTTTGCACTTTGTCCTTTTGTTTCATAGAGACCAGGTGCCTTCATATGCCTCTGGCAGAGCCAGAGGCAGGGCGCAAGTGAAGGCACGTGAGTGACATTGCTGGTTGTTGTGGATTTGTGCTTTTCGGCCCGGAGGGCATTGCCCCGAGCACGTGTTTTTCACCGTTCAAGTAGTGTTGCGCAACGATGGCCAACACCATTTTGCTGCAATGTTGGATGCTTGTAGTTTGACAAGCAAAAGAAATGCGACCAAGCCAAGCTAAACATGTTTAGATTGTATGATTGTATTTCAAATGCGCTAGAAAGCGTGATGGGCAGGAATTCCTTTCAAAGAGACCTGACATGAGTCAGAATCAAAACCCGGTGCTACAATGGTCTACCCAGAACCGTGTAAGGGATTGGCCCTTACTAACCTTCATCTACCCGGGTTTTGATCGTGGCTCACATGTCTTTGTTTCCCATCAGCAAAACAAGCTCGGCCGCAGCACCAGAGGCATGGCAACCAAGAAGCCTGAAGTATTGGCCTCTCGTCTTTTAAGGGAAACCAAGAGGAGAACCCACCAGACCCATTTTGGGGGGCGTGCACCTTTTCTGAGGCTCCCCGTGCCCTTGGGCTTTGTGATCGAATTTTATTTAAGCCAATGGACAAAAATCTAAGATGGTGTCCACCATCCCCAAAGCACTAATCCAGGGGTTGAATGGAATATACGGCCACTGCATAGCCACAAAGGGTATATACCTCAATGTTTCCTGGGGAGTAGTGAAAACCATCTTAGACAAAACCCGGCAGCGTGGAGGATGAGTCACTATGGAGACGCGGGCGCCTGAGGCTCCGGCGAAAATAGCTGACACACCGAAGAGGAGACTTGGCAAGAAATTGAGACCTGCGCTGAGTTTCTCAACCCCTGAACCTTGAAAATGCTGCGGGCAGAGAGTCACTGCACGTTCACCATTGAATCCAAGTTCATGCGGAGCATGGCGAAGGAACAACAAAAAATGTGTCACAACGCCCCCCCCCCCCCCCATGCAAAAAAAAATGTGATTTTTTGGTGCGCTTCTCACCGGGAGCTCCTTCTGGCCCTCTATCCTCGAGGGTAATTACCCCTTTTTTGAGGTTGGTTTCTCGAGGGGAATGGGAACCGCCATTGGGAGGGGGATCCTATTTAGTGGTTTAATGGAAAACCCATTGACAAGATTTAAACTCCTAACATCCAGGCGAAATGCAACAAAGATTTGGAGACAACCCATCCATCACCCGCGTTCTTTGGGCAAGAAGCCTCGCACTTCGCGCATCCGGGCGCCCAGCGGAGCCTGGGGCGGGGTTGGCACAAGCGCTCTCCACCTGGCGTCAAGACAAATCGGCTCCGTGAATCCTCTTGGGGGGACCCCATGTTTTGTGCGGAAACCAAAAGGACTGGGAATCATTTTGCGGGTTCCCCCCTTACCACAAAGAGGGAAAACCTGGAGGGTTAAACAAAGAGGAGAAAAAGGACAAAAAGCGCGAGCCATTTGGCAGGTTCACCGGACACAGCAAAAGGGTTTTTTTTCCCCAGGAAGAAAACATCCGCCAAGAAGCCTCCGGCCTAGGGATCCGGGGCATGTTTTTTTCAGAGACCCAGCCTTCTCACCCACGCAATCCTCAAGGAAGGTCACGGGCTTCCCGAGCAGCTCCTGCGAAAAGTTCCCAAAAAAACATCCGAGCCCAACGCGAGAAAAATGCGGCGGGGAAGCGCCGAAAAAATCGGGGTGCGGATGATTTTGGGGAATTTCAAGTGGGGACTTTCATCGCTGGCCAAATGGCACAAACTGAATCAGCTTGATCCTTTGCGAGGAACATGGGCCGCTGAAACCTAGCGTGACTGGCCGCTGAAACCGCCCCAAAACGTCCCCAAGGGCGGCTGGCAGTGCTTCGTTTTCACCTCGCCAGCGAGGCGGCCACGAGTCCGGCCATTTGCCGGCAGTGCTTCCGGGAGAGGACAAAGGCGTGGGCCGGCGGCCCCCTGGCGAAAAGGGGGGTGGTTCCCTAAATGATTCATCATCAAAACCCGGCAATGTACCCAGAGCCGGATATCCGCACCCATTTATTTGGCTGGGATTGCCACTTAACCTCCAAATGCCCGGGTTTGATTGTTTCTGGGTGGGGGTCCCTCCCTGAGAAAGCCAATCAGATGGACGCCCAAAGGACTTTGGGTCCCACCTTCTCAACTAGCCGCTCCCCTTGTACCTAACCCTCTGCGTTGGATTCCAGAACAAGACTCGGGGCGTTACGGCGTTGCTGTTGGTGTCCCTTTCCCACCCCACCAAAAAGGGGGTAGCCTCGAAAGACAGCACCGGGAAAACCCGCAAAACTGATGCGGCCAGCTGGCGCAGGGTCAGCGCTCAGGTCCACGACCGCATCCTTCTCCGAGAGAAAGCCTAGCCATGCCCATTGAGGTCTCCGGGCTTAGGCCTCCTGCTGGTTGTGCTTCTGTGTCTTCAAGCGATGGATTCCACTGGTATATCAAGAAGGAACCATTTTCGTATATATATATATATATGAGGAGCGGACGAAACACTTTACTTGGCCCTAGTACTTTTTTGAACGTTATCGTTTTTGAAGAGACCTTATCGTTTTGCAGTGTTTTCGAACTTTGGCAAATCCGGCTCGAAAATCGCAACTTTGTAGCACAAGTCTAGTACGCAAAGTACACTTCCGTAGCTCCAGCTCGAAAATCGCAACTTTGTAGTGCAAGTCCAGTACGCGAAGTACTCTCTTCCGCAGCTCCAGCTCGAAAATGGCAACTTTGTAGTACAAGTCTAGTACGCGAAGTACACGTTCGCAGCTCCAGCTCGAAAATCGCAACTTTGTAGTACAAGTCTAGTACGCGAAGTACACTTCCGAAGCTCCAGCTCGAAAATCGCAACTTTGTAGTACAAGTCTAGTACGCGAAGTACACTTCCGCAGCTCCAGCTCGAAAATCGCAACTTTGTAGTACAAGTCTAGTACGCGAAGTACACTTCCGCAGCTCCAGCTCGAAAATCGCAACTTTGTAGTACAAGTCTAGTACGCGAAGTACACTTCCGCAGCTCCAGCTCGAAAATCGCAACTTTGTAGTACAAGTCTAGTACGCGAAATACACTTCCGTAGCTCCAGCTCGAAAATTTTAACTTTGTAGTACAAGTCTAGTACGCGAAATACACTTCCGCAGCTCCAGCTCGAAACTCGCAACTTTGTAGTACAAGTCTAGTACGCGAAGTACACTTCCGTAGCTCCAGCTTGAAAACGCAACTTTGTAGTACAAGTCTAGCACACGAGGTACACTTCCTCATCTCCAGATCGAAAATCGCAACTTTGTAGTACAAGTCTAGTACGCGAAGTACACTTCCGCAACTCCAGCTCGAAAATCGCAACTTTGTAGTACAAGTCTAGTACGCGAAGTACACTTCCGCAGCTCCAGCTCGAAAATCGCAACTTTGTAGTACAAGTCTAGTACGCGAAGTACACTTCCGCAGCTCCAGCTCGAAAATCGCAACTTTGTAGTACAAGTCTAGTACGCGAAGTACACTTCCGCAGCTCCAGCTCGAAAATCGCAACTTTGTAGTACAAGTCTAGTACGCGAAGTACACTTCCGCAGCTCCAGCTCGAAAATCGCAACTTTGTAGTACAAGTCTAGTACGCGAAGTACACTTCCGCATCTCCAGCTCGAAAATCGCAACTTTGTAGTACAAGTCTAGTACGCGAAGTACACTTCCGCAGCTCCAGCTCGAAAATTTGTAGTACAAGCTTCACTTCCGCACTCCAGCTCGAAAATCGCAACTTTGTAGTACAAGTCTAGTACGCGAAGTACACTTCCGCAGCTCCAGCTCGAAAATCGCAACTTTGTAGTACAAGTCTAGTACGCGAAGTACACTTCCGCAGCTCCAGCTCGAAAATCGCAACTTTGTAGTACAAGTTTAGTGCGTAAGTACACTTCCGCAGCTCCAGCTCGAAAATCGCAACTTTGTAGCACAAGTCTAGTACGCGAAGTACACTTCCGTAGCTCCAGCTCGAAAATCGCAACTTTGTAGTACAAGTCTAGTACGCGAAATACACTTCCGCAGCTCCAGCTCGAAAATCGCAACTTTGTAGTACAAGTCTAGTACGCGAAGTACACTTCCGCAGCTCCAGCTCGAAAATCGCAACTTTGTAGTACAAGTCTAGTACGCGAAGTACACTTCCGCAGCTCCAGCTCGAAAATCGCAACTTTGTAGTACAAGTCTAGTACGCGAAGTACACTTCCGCAGCTCCAGCTCGAAAATCGCAACTTTGTAGTACAAGTCTAGTACGCGAAGTACACTTCCGTAGCTCCAGCTCGAAAATCGCAACTTTGTAGTACAAGTCTAGTACGCGAAGTACACTTCCGCAGCTCCAGCTCGAAAGTCGCAACTTTGTAGTACAAGTCTAGTACGCGAAGTACACTTCCGCAGCTCCAGCTCGAAAATCGCAACTTTGTAGTACAAGTCTAGCACGCGAAGTACACTTCCGTAGCTCTAGCTATTCCAGCAACAAAAGTTTGTAGTGCAAGTCGTGTGTTAGCTAAGGGTTATCGTTCTTGGGGGAGACCTTATCGTTTTCCATGGTTTTGGCATCTGTTATGCAAAAACGTACCCCGCCTTGATAAAGTGGTCTTCGTGTGCTTTGTCCGTGGCTCATATATATATATATATATATATGAATATTTAACAATAATATATGTGTATATATATATATGAATATCTAACAACAATATATGTGTATATATATATATATATATGAATCTTTAACAATAATAATAATAATAAGAATACTAATACTAATAATAATAATAGCAATAATAATAATAATAATAGCAATAATAATAATAATAATAATAAACTGTTCGCCAAAGCTGACCCAAGAAAGCACGGCCCGCGCGCTGGACCAAGCGAATGCCAGCCTCTGAGCCTCTTGGAGTGCTCCATCGGAGCCCACATGTCGTCCTGACACGCTCCCGCTCCGTCTGATAAGTTGGCTGAAACCAAAAGGAAAAACCGTCAAATGAATCACTGCAATCCCCCCAAAACATGGGCAACAAACAGAAAGACCTCCCGACATCTGGCTTTCTTGTTTGCGTCCCGCTTGGAGCGGGCCACGAATCCCCTCTGGGTGGTCTCCCTGTTCGTCCCCAAGCGAAGAGTAGTGGGCCTGGACATGAACAAATCCCAATTTCCGACCCACACGCCCTTCCTTGGTCCCACGATCCCCCTTATTGAGCCGTGGGTCAAATGGGCGAGACATGGGATTGAAGATGTCGAGTCACGTTGGAATTCGACCGTGATGGGTCCCTATGGTTCCCCCTGCTCTCTTCACCAAAAGGAAGCTCACCTCAATACTGTTTCAACGGACCAAGCAGGAAAGTATGTGTGTGTGTGTGTTGCCGAATAGGAAACAATCAAAACACCATGGGACTTCAGTGTTCCTTTACGTTTCCCTCCAAAACAAAAACGAAAAACGGCACCCTTATCCTCAAGACAACAGGGAACCCTCTGCAACTCCCCTGCCGCGACCTTCGTGTAGAGCGCCAGCACCCGCGGCCGGTCGGGCAGCGCCATGATCTCCGCGACCTCCACGAAGCCTTGGCCTGCGAGCTCGTCGGAGTCGAGGGAAGCCCCAGACATGCGGACATGGCGGGACAGTCCGGTGGATTTCCCTCCCTTAACCCCCGAGCTTCTTGAAGAAATTGCCCTCAACTGGCCCAACCAACCTGGGTTAGAAAACTTGCAGGCCCAACTCACTCAGGTTTCCAAGCTCCCTCCCACGTGGCAGACCTTCACTTGGCCAGCTCAATCAAGAAGGTCCTGACATGCCCAAGGATCCGGAGAAATCACTTGAAAATGGCCCACTCGAGCTTCATATTGGCAGGGTATTTGGGCATCCTGGTTGGATTTGGCTTCCATGTTGCTTCTCCTTTAGAACCAGGCTAAAACAGAGTGCGCAGTTTGACAACATACCCGTTGCAGTCATGATCATCAACTGCTCTACCCAAAACCTCATGGTAAAGAACAGAAGACAAACAGCCGCATCTATGTGTTGGTGGGACTGTCCAGTCTTCATCTATCCAAATTTAGATGGCTTAAAAGACCATTGGTATGTCAATCCAAATGTATCCCTTGATTCAATTGAGGCTCCAATTGAAAAACACCGCGCAGGTTCGACGCGCCAAACCCCCCGAAAAAGGCCCGCAGCAAGCCTTCAGTCGCTGGATTGAGTCGCTGGCACTCGGTGTAGTAGAGGCCCGACATCGAAGGCAAGTGATGCACCTCTCAGTGACACGAGGCTGGCCAGGTCAAAGGCTCTTGCAAGGTTCCGGAGGTCTCGGAGTGGTCTGGTGCAGGACAGGTGAAAGCTTCAAGGAGGTTCCACAGTCGTTTGGTGCAGGCAGGTGTAAGGTTCAAGGGTCGTGCGAGGGCTCCAGGTTGGCTGGGTGCTGAGGTAAGGTTCCGTTAGGGGTTCCACGAGGGCTCCGCCTGGGCTGGAATGCATTTGCGGACCGAAACAAAGCGCTGCATGCTGTTGGGGACACCACCTGAGCGTATTTGTGTTGATTCTTCATGGAGGCTGACAGCCAAGAGCGCAATACTGATGACGACTGCTTGCTCAACATGATCCCCATGTTTCGCACTGGCGTACTGCGGGGGTTCGCCCCCCTCTTGGCTATTTGCAGCGGGGCGGAACCTTCCTTGAACCCTACACCTGGCCTGCTTGCTCGAACCTGACCCCAGAGCTCCTCCGAGCCACCCCCAACCTTCTCTGGGCTGAGGCCCCTTTCAGCCGTCGAGGAAACGACGAACGGGCTCCGAGGAGGGGAAGTGCCTTACGACTTGGGCTGACTGCGGGATAGACATACCCCACCATCCAAGGGCCTCCCTTTCGCCGATGGCTGACCCTCCCTCCCACATGGCAAACTTCCTCTTGAACAAAACCTTCGTGGGAGAGCGGGTAGTTGCTTCCCGTGACTAACGGTCACAAATGTTATTTTTGCTTGAAACCGGCAACGGATCAAGAAAGCCTTCAGGGTGAAGACTTCTCATTCACTCTGCTACTTTCCACTGTGCGCCTGCTGGAAGAAGGTCTTCAACGTGACCTCGTACACCAAGCTGCCTGGCCATCGCGCCGTCGCAGCTTGGGACTCAAAGGCAACCAAAAAAAAAAGAAAGCCAAGGGGACGATTTGGTGGTCGAGGCGCTAGGAACCCAAATGTTTGGCTTCTTAACACGGGGGACCCTGAACCCGGCTGGTTTCACTATGGATCCCAAACATGGCACCAGCATGAAAAAAATGAGAAGGAGCTTTGAGAGGGGTCCAATCTCAGGATTCCCCGAAGGTTTTTGAGGTATTCCTTCTGATGTTCGCGGGAATGCTTCAAAAATGCCCTCCATGGGTTGGCTGCAAGGAAGTTTTCTGGGAAAGAGAGGGCTATGACGCCATTGCTTTGTAGGGCTGATATCCGCCTCGGAAGGGCAACATCTGTGGCACGCGGCATGAACCGGCCCAGGACAAATTGAGGATTTCGGCCACACCGAAAAGTACGTGTATTCCCAGGAGGGCATGTGTGCCGCCCGTTTGCTTTCGTGAACTTCCCCCGTCCTCCCAAATGAGTCATAGACAGAGCAAGACATTTTGAGCCACCCTCATGTGGGTATGGGCTTCGTTTTGGAAAAAACCAACAATTATTTTGTTGGGGGGAGATGGGGAGCCAAATGGATTTTCCGCAACAGCTGAAAGCTATGGGGTCGATAGGCCCAGAAGGCTCTGGGGTGGTTTCGGAAAGAATTCAGGGAGGGTTCAGGGGCTGTAGGGGATACCACCTGGGCTGATTTTAGGTTTGTTCCGTTTCTTTGGGCGGGGAGGAACTAGCCAGACGGAAACCGTTTGGAACATGTTGGAGGCACACCAAGGTGACCCTTCTACGGCTTCTTCTTTGTGAAACCAGATGGAAGAGTAAGGTTCAGGTACCCCTGAACCGGTTTTTGGCACCCTCCCTGAAAGTTGCCCCTCAAACCAAAAAAAAACGAAACAAGAAACAGAACAGACATATAAAAGAAGCCCAGGCAATATCCGCCGGTTGGGGGCTTCGAACCCCTCCTACGGCGTCCAATTGCTGAACCCGGCGTCCCCCCCATCTCAGCAAAAAACGGTCCCCCCCCCCAAAAAAAAAACACGAAAAAAAGGCCCCTCCTTTTTCCGGAAAAAAATCGGAAAACCCCGCCATTGCCTCGTTGGCTGCGGCTCACCAGCCCCGCACCCAGCTCTTTCAGCCGCGAGGGCAGCGCCGCCGCGGAGAGCGCCACCAGGCGCGCCAGCGCTGAGGGCGACAGAAGCAGCGGCTGCAGGCTGAAGGCCCGGTACTCCAGGTACCTCGACTTCTGAAACCGGCGATGGGTCACCATGAAATGAAGCCACCAGACAAATTGCCGCGGGGTTTACTCCATTTTGAGTACCTATTTTTGACCCACAGCCAGCTTGGGCTATGGCTTTTTTGGGTTTGTGCTTTCTGGAGAGTACCCTTTTCAGCTTGGTTTATTCAGGGCACCCAAGAGGACAAGCACCGTGCGAAAAGAAGCGACCTCTGCGTGCGTGTGTATCCAGCCTTCTCATGGGAGCTTGAGATCAGTTCGGGGCCTTGTTGTCTCCTTGCTGGACTTTGGAATGATCAACTCCGGAGAGGGGGTAGGTTGTGGGCTTCGTGTTTGAGCTCCGGTGCTTGGAGCGTAACGAGAATGGAGATCTGATGGGCTCTAAGCGGCCGTCCATGACCCAGACGAGCGGCTTGATGTGGCTGGGAAAGTGAGACGTGGACGAACTCTGGGAAAATCTGGATGCTTTTGATGTGTGTCTGTGTTTTTCTGTGCTTGTGTCGTGTTGTCATATGAGTTGGGCTCACCGGTGAGCGGTCTCCCCTCTTGGGGAAGCTCGGAGCTCAGCCGAGGTGCGGCATAGCCAGCACCTGAGGCCGAAAATACGTTTCAACAACCCGCCCCTCGTGGTCTTAGGGAAGCCAAAGGGAACTTAGGATTTTTTGTCGAAACCAACTTAGACAACTTCCATTTGCTCCAGCCCCCTGGAAAGAAAAATAAAAATATTTCCAGTAGTGATAGATTCCCTCTAAACATCAACAGGAATAAAAGAAAAGCAAATGGATGACAAGAGGTCGCTCAGGAGCCCTCCCCACCCTTCAGAACTTCAGCCCCCTGCGAACCAATCTGCATGTCGTTTAGGACTTGGACCCGACGTGGCGCGAACGGCTTTCCTTTGGTTTCCCTTTCATTTTCCACAAAAAACGGAGGTACCAACTCAAACCAAAAAACACGTCCGACCCCGGTGTCCCTTTAAAACCCACCCAAAAAAAGAGACACACGGGGCACCGACTCCAAAACAGCAAAGAGGACCTGCGCCCCAGCTGCCACCTGCCACCTGCCCCTCATCTTCTTCGCCCGTGGCCCGGGCCTTCAGCGGCACGGCCCTGCGCCGCTCCGGCGCCATGGCCCGGAGGTGCCGCAGCGTGATCCAGGCGCCGATGGAGTGCCCGAAGAGCGCCAGCCGCTCGTGGCCGCCCTGCGCGAATTCTGCGCGCCCCGCATGCGCGTCGCATGCGCGGGGCATCGGGGGGGGGGGGGGGGTTCGAGATGACCCCAGAAAAACGCCGAGGGAGCCTCCGGCGCGTTTCCGGCGCCTTTTCCGGCGCGTTCCGGTTGGAAAACGCGCCAGAACGACAGGAGCCCCTGTTCTTGCACTAAAAAAAAAAGCATGCCACGAAAGGGGAGTACCATCCGAAATGGACGCCCAAGTGCATTCCAGAAAGAACAAAGCACATGAAGCACAGGGGGAAAGCAGCCAGGCGTCCCATACCAGGCCGCCTGCAGCTCATCCAGCACCTTGGAGATGGCTGCAGCTTCCTGGGGCAACGGAACGCTGAGCGGGGGTTCCCATCCTTCTTGTGATGACCATCGTTTCTGGGCCCCCCCAACAACTCATATGCAAAGAAAAGACAACAGGCGTTTTGCCGCCTCAAACGCGTGTTTTCTCAGGAATCAATCTTGGAATCTTGGGGTTTCAAAAACCGGGGATCTAGGGAACCACAAGTTGGATTGTCTGGGTCATTCCAACTCATTTCCTAACCTCAATCAGTTCGCACCGCTCATCTGTTACCTGGTCTCTCAGAATGGTGGTGTTCATTTTGGCCGAAGGGCACGCCCGAGAAAGAAAAACAAGGCACACTCGAATCTGCGTTAACTGTACCTATCAGGTGTGTGTCAAAAATGAAGGATCCCCAACCAGGCAAAATGGGAACCGCTTTCCTTCTGGCTCCAACAAAGCACCAGGGGAAAAAAAATGAGAATAAACGACACGCAGTCTACAGGTTCTGAAGCCACCGCCCGTTTCCTCCGCTCCTCCTCCACCGACACGGCTTGGGACCGCTGCCGCAAACCCGCACCCTCCGCGCGGGTGGGGAAGCCCAGGTAGCCCACGCAGTAGATCCTGAGGATCTGTGCAGGGCTACCCATGAGGGCGTTTCTCAAAATAGGAATCCCTGAAAAATGCTTGAGTTTCCTCTTGGCCCTCCTTGGAACAAATCCGCAATTTCGAGAAACATATGCCCTCATTAAACATCACCCACCAAAAGAAAGCTCGCTTTAAACTGGGTTGAGGGGAAATATTGGGAGCCCGTGAGCTTGTGAACAATGTCCCACAATGGGTCTCTCGAGAAAAAGGCTTCAAAAGAAGATCCGAGGAAGCCACTGCTATTAGGACACCAACCTTTTGGACACGTCCACAAACATCAGGACGTGTCCGCACTGAGCGTCGCAGCAGAAACGCCCTGCTCCTGCAGGGCCTTCTGCAACTCCTCGCCGAACTCGCAGTAGTAGTGGGGTACACCCGGGTTCCCGGGCACCACAGCCACCTGAGAGACGAGGTTGAACCCGAGCTGACGTTTGGAAAAGGTTTACGCAAGCCTTACAAGCCCTTAAAAGCCAGTAGAACCGCCTATGTTCACTTTCACTTTCACGATCTTTGCCACGTCGAAATGGGGGACTCCCAAAATGGGATTTGTCCTTTTAAACCAACCTGAAAAGGGTAATCTTACCCTCCAAAAGAAAGCGCAAACCTACCTGGCCATGTTCCAGGAATTTGAGGAAGCCTTATTAACCCGCAAAATGTTCAGACTTTGGGATATGTTACCACTCAGGCACGGCCAACAAAAGGCCAACCACCCACCTGGACGTTCCCCAGTTTCTCCAGTTCTGGTGAAACAACCCCACCGTACGGCCGATTCTTGCCAACGTGTAAAAACATTTGAACATCCACCGGTCCACCATGACCGTGTCGAATCGAATTCGGCACAACATCCGGATGATAAACCCTGGGCTTCGCCTGCAAGCGAACCAACCATCAACTTCAAAAAGCCGCGGAACAAAAATAGTTGAAATCTCGGAGAATCAGGATACTCCCAGTATCTACAGGGATGATCAGTGCACCCCGTCGCATCTTTTTTCCGCGCTCCCAAGGCAGCCGAAGCCCTTTTGGGCCCCCGGCGGCCACGTCCGCCTCGCCTTCGGCTGGCCTTGCCAGGACTTCCGGCAGCTCCGGGTCCTGCGCTGGGGAGTCACAGGAGTCACAGTCGCAAACGGTGATGGGAGTGCCCCTTACCCAAATACCAAAGCCCTAGCCCGGTATTTTTTAATGGCAACCGCAACTGGCGATCCAGGAACTACCCAAATTGGTTTGGGAAAAGAACATTTCCTGAGAGCAAACTGATCTTCCAGGTGCCTCCCCACAGGTGCCAGTCCCATACCCTCTCTCCAACAAAATCCAACAGTGTGGACTACTTTCCTGCCAAAGGCCCTGTCCAATTCCATTGGAAAGAGGGTCATCCTTTTTAGTGGGTCAAACCGCGAGAGTTCAAGCGAAACCGTCCGTCGCAAGGGAAAAGAAAACGCCAAGTCTTTTCGTTGCTTGAAAGAAGTCCACTGTTGCTTTCGGAAATGCCGACAGGAAGCCGGAAGGATACATATGCCAAACCCAGCCTTTGAGAACTCAGCCAAACCCATGGCCCCGCGGCCGCACAAACGACCCGCCGCCGGTCACCGCCTTCAGCTCGTGCCAGAGCCAGCCCTCAGGCGGCTCCGGCCCCGCTGGCGGCGTCTTGGAGGACTGGCAAGCCGGAGACTCACCGGGAAGCGGGGGGGGGGGGCTTCGGTTTCTGAGTTGGTGCCCCCCTTTTTGGGGTTGGTCCCCAGGAAAACCAGCAATGACGAACCAAGCTGGGGTTTTCGCCCCCATTTTCGGACACACCCTGGCTTGTTCCAGCGATCCATGCCTCTTCTCAAAAAAAAAAAGTCGTCTCAGCTTGAGAAAAATACCCGACCTCGATTGCAGAACTCTATGGCCACCCCACGCCGCAAGCCCCCAGCCATCCACGTCTCATATCCCGCTTGCGGCCTGTTCCATGATAGCTGCCCCCCACAGAATGCCGATGCAAAGCGAGAACAGGAGGATCTCGCGCAGAGGAGACGGCAGCGTGTTGGCGATCTGCATCCTTGGCCGCGGAAAAAAAGAAGGTCGCCAGTCGTCCCAAGCTTGGACACCCGCGACGACAAAAAAAAGGTCACTAGGGGTCCGAAAGCCCCCACACCGTTTTTTCTCCATCTGAACTGCCGCACAAAAATGGCACCAGGACTCGTTTGCGGCCGGAGCGGCACTCCAACGGCCAGCAGGCATTGGGTCAACATGACTTGCGCAACGTGAGGGTGTTCTTGTTTGTGTTGTTTTTCTCCGCGTTCTCTTTATGTTTATATCGGGGGGTGCAAAGGGTTTGCCAAGTCGTGTTATGCTTCAGGTTCAGCATTTGCCTCAGCTCGAGCCACAAGCTGGACGGCAGCATGCCCCGTTCTCAAGTGACACGAAGGGCCAAGGACCTCGCCAAGCAAAACTTCAAACGTCCCCAAAGTTCCCGGAAGCTCAGTCGCCGCGAACGCCTCCTTGGAAGAAAACCCGGGCAGCCCTTGGCTGGAGAAGGTTCCCTCTTGAAGCATTTTCTGCGGCTGATGTGTGTTTCTTCTTGCAGAACAAAAATTCCAGAGCTCGGGCAAGCCATGGCAAACCGGCGAAAACGTCTTCGTCTTTGGTTCCATTTGCCATGCCATTTTTGGGTTCCATACCGCCCTTGGGAGCCAGAGACACCATCGCCGGGCGAGGGAGCGAGCTCCTCCAGCTTCTTCGCCACGGGCTTCAGGGAGTCCTCGCGAGGTTTCGCGTGGCGCGGCTTCGCGTGGCGCGCGTGGCATGAAGCTTCTAGGGATCGTTGGGCATGGGTGGAATGCCCACCTTTTTGGAGGCTTCTCTGGTTCATGTATTCTTCAAAAGTTCAGAGCCAAAGAGCGGGGAACGGAATGGCCCTGGCGCGTCCCAAAAACGCGAGCCCCGAAAACGCGTCTGGAGCCGTCGACTCCTTCAGAACGACCTTGCCGTCGGGTCTTCCCATGTGGCCTTTCCGCAGAGTCTTCCCGCACTTGTGACACTGGATGGTTCATTCCTGTGCCAACAGTCCTAAGTGTTTGCCCCTTTTTTAGGGGAAAAAGCATCATTTCCCCCCCAAAAAGATCGAGTCAAGAGATCCAACCAAGTGGCGGCCAAGCTAAGGCCAGGTCTCATCAGGATCACAGCTTTGGCACCCTTGTCCATCGCCATCTTGATGCTGGGGATGGCTCCCGCCTGCGAGCGGATTGCGGCAGTCGAAGACTTCAGCAGCTCAATGGCCCGCTTTACACACAAACAACCAACCAGCCAACCAACCAACCAACCTACCTACCTACCTACCAACCAAATCACCAAATAACCAAATACAAAATAACCAAATAACCAACTAACCAAACAAACAAGCAACAAACACGCATCTTCCCACACATCTGCCCACACCGCATGCGCATCTGCCGAGGTGCCACGCAAACTTCTTCAACTTTGGGATTCTACGTGAATCCGGGCGCGTGAGCCACATGAGCCACTGGGGCCGGTGCGATTCGCTGAGTGTTGGTGATGTTGCCCTCCTTGTCCATAGGCCTGGCTTGGTAGCAGCGGACACGCTGAAGGACTCGAGGGCTTCCAAAGGATTGACTTGCACCATGCTTCGGAAAATATGTTTTCTTGATTCGACCAATATTGTCCAAACTTCCATGTACGTGTCATCAAGAACAAGGTTGTTGCAGATGAGATTGCCCGTTGGTTGAGCCCTTGCACTGAGGCGCCCACACGTTGAAATCTACTCTCATCAAAACTCGCTTGTCTTTGACCTGCAGCGCTTGCTTGTCAAGGAGGCACGTGCATGGCCGCCCTAGACCGACTGGAACAGCCACCAGTGCAACAAGCGAAAAAAGAAGCAACGTGCTGCGTCCGCGGCGTCCAGCTCGGCGATGGTCTTCTTGTTCAGGTTCATGGCCATGGTGCCTGCGATCGATCCACGCGGTGCGTACCGAGCGACTTGAAGGACAGCCGTCGGCGCCAAGGGCCCCGCCTGCAAGTCCTATGGCCTGGGGGATTCTAATCTCAATGCTGAGCCGGAAGTGCCGCAGACCGCGCGACTTTTGGGCGGGCGGAGGAAGCTGGCTTTCGGGATCCTAAAAGGAAAACCCTGCCCCAGTGAGGTCTTTTGGTTGGTGGGACTTCGCCCGAGAATTTCATGCGAAGCTCAGGATTCCAGAGTTTTCACTCGTCCCGGGCATGACCGGTACGCTAGCTGCTAGCCTCTCGCAAATCAAGCAGAGTTCCCTGGGAGCCCTTCGCGACGCGCTTGCTTTCGGCGGGCCATCGATCGGCATGCCATCGGCGCTTGGATCGCAGATTCAGCGACCCGAAGCGGCTGTGAATTTGCAAGCGGCTGGGGCGCGAGCTGGAAAACTCCACTTTTCTGTGCAACAAGTTTCAACCTGTTCAGTGGCGAAAGAAGCTTGCTGGTTCTCTTCAAGGAAGCCAAATTGGGGATGGTCTTTTCGAAGGGCTCAAACTCCAACTCATTCCAACTGCAAAAAGTCTCTCCGACATCGCCAAGTCCCGACTCGTCCTACGCGAGGACCTTGCGTCCCCTTTGCATCCCCGAAGCAAAAATTCACCTCCGCGGGCGCTTTGCCGCAGCTCCGCCTGAACGGGTGTTTTCTTGTTTTTTTAGGACGCCCCCACAAAAAGAAAATTCCGCGACGGTGTTCCTTTTGGTTTCCTTTCAAAACCACAACAAAACAAGGAGTTACACTCCCTCAGGCTAACGTGGAAGCTGCCAGAAGGTCTCTGTAGCTAGAACCAAGTCTTCCATTTCGAGGTCCGTTCAGGAGAATCATGGCATTGCCTGGAGGACACCAACTCCAGAAAGGGACGAGCCCAAGTGCGGCACCTTCCCAATTCGGGGCCATCCGAGAGCCCGGCCTTGGCCGCCCTGGCTGAACCCTTGGCTCTGGCTGCCTACCTGCCAGAGGAAAACATCTCCACAGAAAATCCAAAGGGGGCGTGGCTTGTGGGGTGATTGGCAGACGGCACATTTTTTTCGGGTAAGTGGAGTGTAAAAGTGGATGACGAAACCCAAATGGGGGAGTTGCGTACGTTCAATCAACTGCAACTCACCACGTTGAAAATATCCCGAAAGGTGTGCATTGAGATCCCTGTAAGTTCCCGCCTCACTTGCCACGGCTCCCCCAGCCGCAGCATCTGCATCCTGGCAGGTGGATTAACTAGTCAGACTTGATGGCAGCAAGCGTTTTAGCACAGGGAAGACTGCAGTTCAATACAATTCCGTAGCCTAAGCCAAGGCGACTTACATCATGACCTCGTTCCCCCCCCCCCCGCCCCCTGCTCGCCGTGACACATTCTATTTGCTCAAAACTGTGGAGTGCCACTAGGGACCCCTACAAGTCTGTGGATTCGCTGAAAAAATCTCTGCAAACGAAGGTATCCGTTCCATACATCTAGCATTGACATTCTTGCAATTCTTACACTCTGTGCCACAAACACGCGAGCCAATCGCCCAGAAAACTCGGCACCGCCCCCTCCCCCCCCGCCCGCCCCGCTCCGCCCGTCGAAACCCATCGCCTGCGTGGGTGTCTCCTCGCTCCCAACATGCCGCGCCCCCGCATCAGCACTCGTGCTGACGCCATCGCCTCAATGCGACGTTCCGTGAGTGCGTAGGTATACGTATCTGTATATATATATATATATATATATTATAGGCCATACTATATATATATATATGTACAAAATGCATGCGTGTTTGCATGTGTTTGCATGTGTGTGTGTGTGTGCCACATTCAAACATCCTAAATGGAAGCTCAAACATTTGGCGACCAAAAGGTTCAAAACGGCCCCCAGGCGCGGCTCGGGCCTTCCGCCCCGGGCCGCGTCCCTCTTTCTTTCTCACTCAGCCGGGCGCGTCTGGGCTCCAAGGTCTGGCTTGGAGATTCCGACACCTCGCGCTGAGCGACTCGACTCGACTCGGCGACTCGATTCGCGGACATCGATTAGATCCGCCTGGTGCAAGCACCGCTCCAAGGCACCCAGGCGATCGCTGACCTGCGCTCAGCACATGAAGCCCAGGGCCCTGAAATGGAAGGAACAACAAAGCTGAAATATGCTGAAATGGAAGGAAACGCAAAAGCTAAACAATTGGAAAGGGTTCAAAAGTGCTCGCAGTTTGCTACCGGGATGTTGGCTCAGCTTTTTTGGAGCCTTGAAAGTCAAATTCGAAGCAGTGAAATCACGCACCCCCATGAGACTAGAAACAGCCTGGAATCGCGACTGTTTTGGCTGCAAACGGTGGTGACCTCTTGAAGGATGTGCCAAAGCAGACGCTCAAGGTTCAGCCATTGCAATTTTTGGTGGTGCCCCGCTCTTCGGGAGACCCGTTTGGATGTGCCAAAGCAAATAGTAAATAGTTCCACAAATTCCTTGCCTCTGCCGGCTCAATTTGGGCTGGCGGATGGCGTTTGATGGGAAACCACAGGACAGAATTGTTGTTTGGGCTCTCCATTTTGCGTACACCCAACAAAGTATGTTCAGATCCTGCTTCCATTTTCGTCAACCCCGAAAATGACCGCCTCATTTCCGCTTTGAAGACCCCGGGCGCCTTTTGGAGTTGAATCAAGACCCGTGCCGTCCCAAGCCCTCGCTCCTTCTGGTGGTACTGCCGCATGGCCGTGCGCAGCGTCGTCAAGGCGGCGCCCCGCTCCTCCAGCCTCCTCCTGCCAATCGGCTGGGAGGAGCTCGGAGCTCGGGGCGCGGCTTTTCTCCGGAAATCTGATTGGCTGAGTCTTGACTCGCAAGCCCAGAATCAGCCAGGATTCGTCGATTTTGGGATGGGAGCATGGGAGCACAAGTGCCAGACAACTGAGGCACAAGCTTAGTAGTCAAAAAGGACGGCCCGGGGCGCCGGACCCAGTGTTCCACCCTTTTGTTGGGGCCATGCAGGGGTAGAGTTCAGGCTCCGTGAGGATTTTGTTGCGGGTGCGTGCCAAACGGCCCGTTCCAGAGAAAACCACCATGACACCCTTGCCTTTTGGCGTGTTCCCGGTTTTGGCACATAGCCACTTGAAGTAGGCGAACGGTAGGTTCAAACAGGAACTGACTGTGACCTGCCAGAAAAGCCGCCCAGAGTCAGTGGACTGTCTTGAGAGAGTCCAATAACTTTTTGGCATGGCTCATGCTTTTTGCATGCGAGCATAATATCCCAGCAGGCCAGCTGAACCCCTCCTGGCCACGGTCACAGCTTCCCGCGACCGGCTCCACTCGGCACATGCCGCCGCGGCTTGCTCCTGGACAGGCCCCGTCAACCGAAGATGGCAGCCAATTGTTCGGTGTGGTCGGGCACCAAGCTAAAGATGGGCATGTGTCAAAATGGGGGAGGGGGGCAAAGAATGGTGAGGCAAATCTCCGCCTTGCCCAACAGCAACCCCCTTTGCACCCTGGAACCCCTTCCACCCACAGCCTCTCCAGAGCCTATTTGGGCAGAGACGGCAAAAGCCAAGCTGCCGTCCCCCACCATGGCATCTGACAGAGGGTCCCGCAAAGTTGATCTTCCAGGCCTCCCGCAAACGCCTTGGAACCCACAGATTCCCTGTCACTGGAGAATGGCCCACCCCCCAAGTCAGCCACACGCTTCGGGAGCAAAAAAAACCCGCCGCTTCGGGTCCCCAGGCCCCCGATTTCCGGCGCTTCGTCTCTCCTCCAAGGAGGCGTTGAAGTCCGACTCGCGCTTCACCTCCGCCTCCAGCGCCAGCGTGCGGCTGGAGGCCTCCTGGACCTCTCAGGATCCGAAATCATTCGCATCAGTGTGGTGCTTGTCTCAACGCCCCCGAAACAGAAATCTGCGGGTGTCTCATTGTGTGCGTTTTTTCTTTTCCGCTTGATTTCCCCAACCCAAAGAGGGAAAGCAGGTTTTATCGGCTGAGTATCGTCAGCTAGTCAGGAGGTTTGTTGGAAGGAGCGTCTGAAGCTTATAGCCAGAGCAGCACGGTATGCTTTCAAAATCAAACGCGCAGGCCCTTTCAACAGCTACCACTTGGAAAAGGCTAATCAAGTAGTTACATCTGGAGCGCCTTGGGACAAAAACCGAAAGCTTGAGGCAATTAACTTCCAATTGGCCCGAAGGGGGGCTATGTCATGCATCTTGAAGCATGATATTACAGTATGTGTATGCATCTGTGCATATGTCTGCGTACATATTGTGTATTTACGGTATGTCTTTCTATCTGTCTCTGGCAGTCTCTGTCTCTGGCAGCCTCTGTCGCCTTCTCTGCCTCACAGTGTCTTTGTCTCTCTGCCTCGCTGTCTCTTTGGGTCTCTATCTCTGTGCATCACTGTCTATCTGTGTATGAGTCCATGGATGCATTTACGCATGTATACATGTATATTATGTATATATATATATATATGTATGTATATGCACATATTGTAGCATGATATCATATATGTCCGTTCAAAATTTCAGGGTCCACCATTTGGTCATTCTTATGTAAGCTAAGGTCAAAACTCTGTGTATATTATTTGTACGTGTACATATATACATATATATATATATATACATTAATTATGCACACACACACACATCCGCCCCCCTGCCGACACTGTCAAGGAACCTTGATGGTCACGAAGCGAGCAGGTCCCAAATGATGCGCAAGCAGATGTTTCCAAGCGGTTACTTTCCTCCTGTTTTCCTTCCAACATCCAACCCTCTGGGTCTGTGGCTGCGATGCCAAAACATCCTACGCCTCATATCCCCGAAACAAATAGACACTACACTGGTTCACGGAACCAGCCAGAGGTCTTGAGCCGAATCAGGCTAACCGTCAAATAATTTTGGGCACTCACTCCCAACCCGAAAACGACGGAAAAGACAGCATTTGACTTTTGAAAGACCTAAAATGTTTTTGTTTGACAGTATATTTTTTATTATATTGAAAAACATTTCTATACTAAAAGAAATATAGGGAGAATACACACATCAATCTGCTTTCTTTACGACATACGGTCCCAAAAATATAGGCATTACTAAACCACTCTGTTTTTTTGCAATGTCTGTACATCCGGTTTAAAAGCCTTAATAACAAATTTACCAGACAATAATTTGTACGCAAACAAGTAGGTGCAATTGATTGTTATGCACAAAATTCAAAAATATTGAGTAACAACATCAGGATATTAATATTATCCATTATATCCTGGTGGTCATTATAGTGGTTCAAATTGTATTGAAATATATTTAGGTATATTTTAAAAAAAATGTGGATCCCAAATATTGCGTGCCATCGGTATGCTTGGAATTGGATTTTTAACCCAGAGGGAATGGTTAGCATTGGATGCTATGTGATTAAGATTGCTTGATAGCCATATATAATAGATGCCGCAATGTCATATGCCTATGCATGAAACCATGTTGGGGAGCAAAGAGCAAGATGCCGCAACAAAAACTCCTCAAGCATTTAAAAAGACGAAAAAACACGAAGAGAACCCATTTGGTTGCAGCGTCCGACTCCCTTCTTTGGAGCGTCCAGACCCCGTGCACCGGCCGAAAAACGCCGCCTCGCTGCGGAGCCGCGAGTTCTCCTCCTCCGCGCGCTGGGCGCAGCGCTGCTCCTCCTCAAGCTCCGCCTATCGAGAGCGTTGGTTGGTTGGCGCTTGATTGATCCCTGTCTGCTCTGTTTTGGGTGTCTTGCTTTTGGGGGACACCGCGAGAATCGGGTTTCGTTTCCCTTTAACCCCCAACCCCCTCCCCACCCCCCATTAAAAAAGGCTTGCAAAAACAGACCCGTTTGTTTATTGGCAGACATGGAAGTACGTTTCCCCCGTTTCGCGAAACTTTTGAACAGAGCATGGTACGAGCAGCATGTTGGGAACCCCCCTGAACAGGCAGTCTTCCGGCTTCTGTTTGGCTCTTCGAACAAACAATCGTGGCTTGTCCCCTGTTTGGTTCCCGTGAGCTTGGGCAGAATCTTTAGAGTACTTTTCCCGGAACAGATCGTTTTGTCGCTGTGTTTTGGTCCCTTTGAACATGGCCCAGTTTGCTTCTCTGAGGCCAAGGCAATGCTGACGGCACCTGTTGGGTGAGTCTGAAACGTATAGGCCCCCTCCCCTTGTCCCCCCTGAATGCAACCTCCCAGTCACAATCAACCAAGTTGAGGCGGACCCAAAACCCATCCGCAACTGTCTCTGGGAACGGGACAGTCCCTAAAGCGGAAATCTGGCCACTGTTCAGGCACCAGGTTAGTTCATCCAAGGCAACATTAGGTGACTAGGGGGCAGCAGGTAACCCAGCCAGCGAAGGAAAACACGAATCATCACCTATTGCACTCCAGGCATACCGGGCGCGCCAGCAACTAGCTGGATAATGCAAATATTTAGGGCCGGAGACGTCCCACACGCTTTCAATATTGACAACGTCCCTCGTGAAACATGCCTGCCGACGTTCTCTTGACTGACCATTTTGACCAATCGCCGTACCATGCTCCCTTCGCTCCCTCTATGTGGGGCTGTTGTTGAGGGTTCCCTTTTGGGTCGTAGGGGAGACCCACCTTTGTGGGCATCCCCCATATTCCAACACACTCACGTTTGGCCATCCCCCGTCTCTCTGCTCGCGTCAACCTCAACTCTTGCCAGGCCGCACGCAGCCGCATACTCTCGCGGCGGTCCGTCGCTTCCGCCTCCGGGCAGCTCTCGCGCTCCTGCAAAGCTTTGCTGGGCGAAAAACAAATCCCCTGCCTCCCACCCCCCCTTTCTGTGTTGATTTTACTCGAATCTCGTACTTTTGTTCCTGCTCCTCTAAGAACTCGTCTCAGCTGGATTTGCGAGAAAAAGGGTCTACCTTTGAAACTGGCACCAAAAAGCAGTTGCTCTACTTGTACTGACAAGCATCTTTGGCTGGATACTCCAAGATAGGGATACCAAGACCAGCCACACCTTTGCATCATTTTAAGGCAGTGTCCTTCTTACACCTCCTCAAAGGTCCCTCGTTTTTGCCATACAACCCTCTCTCCCAGCCTCGCAGTTGCGCGCGTCTCGCGCCGAGCCGGCGCCGCGCGAGGCCTCGGGGAAACCAACCAAAAAGACGCTGCGACTTTGGGCTCGGCCGAGTTCCCACAAGATCGCACCACTCTAGGGAGAAGGAACCTTCTGGATGGCTTCTGGTCTCCCCGAGAACCTTTTTTTTTGGAGGCAACCCGAACCCCCCGTGCCCATTAAAAAACATGAAACACAAGTAAACACCCCCCCCAAGTGAAGTGACCCCATTCCCCTCCCCCCAAACCTCCTTCCCCCCCCCCCCGAACAAAAAAAAAAAAACAGACCCTGAGCTTCTTCTAGTCCGTGGCATGTGTCCAATAAGGCTCTGTCCTTTGTGTGCCCTTTGGGCCTTGGAAGGAAACCAAAGGAAAAACCGACAACCATATTCGGGCATGGGTCAAAATTAAAGCACCAGAAACCCGCAGAGCTTAGCCTTTGTTTCCAATTTACCAGGGCAAGCCCAGTTGGGGGTTGTCCAAAACTTTTCATCACCCCCAGTTTAGAAACCCAGAAAAAGTAGCCACCCACCGGCCCAATTATTCTACCATTGTCCAAGTCACCCACCAAGTGGTAGGTTAAAGGGAAACCACCAACCAATTTCTGACTTTCATAATACCCCAGAACCCACCCCACCCACACCACCAACCCCAGACCACCCCAGACCACCCCAGACCCGCCCACCCGACCCACCCCACCCACCGTGCCTGGAGCTTCTGCTGCGCCTCCCGCAGCTCCTCCTCCAGCCGCGCGCAGTTCGCGCGCTCCGCGGCCACCCGGCCCTCCAGCGCCGCGCACGCCGCCTGCGGAGTCAGCCGAAGGCGTTGGACGCTTGAGGTCGGACCGGGAGAAACACGGGGCAAAGTCCTACCAAAGGTGGAGCTCACAAGAAATGACAGCGGCAAGTTGAGAACATCTCGTGTCCTCCAAGTGAGCCAAGGAACTCGAAGAGCGGATCTTGTGAGGGGTGAACTCGTCGCATATGTAGCCGGGGTTGTGGAACAAAACGCCGTGATTCATCGGCGGGTCTCTCTTCGGAAATTGAAACCCGGCTGACTCAAGAGCGCGTCCTCCCCACACCCACCACCTCTGAAAAAGGTACGGAAGGCCTGGGGAAAAAATGATCGAAAACCCATGCAGGTCCTTTACTTGGCTAGAATTGTAGAGGTTGCAGATGGGGTTGTGCTCGGAGAACTGATTGGTATGTTGAAAAAAGGAAGCATGTGCTGCTTCTCGACTAAAACCCCAAAACTTGCATTTGGGGTTGTACCTCCTTTGACAACCATTTATTTCAACAAGGAAGTATCGGATTGGCAGGGATTGGCAGGGATCACTGAACTTCTCCTTCAAAAGTTGCCATGTACTGGTGTTCCCTTGGAACGATCGCCACTTTTGGAGGCAGTTCGCGTGCTCGATCTCTCGGCAGCCTGGCGCTGTTGGGCATCCCTTGCCATGGCTGCGGCCAGCGCCACCGCAGCATCCGTCGGAGCCTAGGCGAACAGTCGGCGGCCAAAGGGGTCTGTACTAGGTCCCCGAGTAGAGAGGTTAGAATAAGGATACCAACTTTTTTCTGTAGTCTGTTTTAGTAGGGGAACCCTCCCCCTGAAAAAAAGAAACGGTAAAAGGGCACCTAGCTGGGGGCCCTAGTGTATACTGCCAGGCTTGGCGGGAATCCAGGCCTAAAAATCGCTGACGCTGCGCGGTGGCTTCACTTCGTGGTTGCGCTCCCCTCGTCCCACGCCCCTGCCTCCACTCTCGGCCGCTCCGGCAACCTCTCCGGCGGGGTCGGCACCTCGTCGAAGGAAAATAGCACTCCCCCCAGCCCTCCTCACCCCAAAAAATCGTGCCAAATCACCCAAATCGATCTCACCGGAGGCTGTTGAAAAAGAACGGCTCATTTCCGGAGGGCAGTGACTTCACAGAAGCTGCTCAAAGCTGGGGGTCCCTCCCCATGAACCCCCCCAAACTGAGGCCTCGCACCCAGGCGGCCGCGGGAGCTCCCGGCACGGTGGCGTCAGGTGCACTGGAAGTCTCACAGGCCTCAAACCCCACTCCCTGGGGTGCCCCTGCTTTTCTTTTCTTCTTCTCTTCCTCTTTGTTTTGGGGGGGGGAGGTCGGGGGGGGCGGGGGGGTCCCGTAAGAAAAGGCATGCACGCATATGCGCGCACACACACAGACAAACAGACAGACAGACAGACAGACAGACAGACAGACAGACAGACAGACAGACAGACAGACAGACAGACAGACAGACAGATAGACAGACAGACAGCCAGACAGCCAGACAGACACAGACAGACACGGACAGACACAGACAGAGACAGACAGACAGACAGACAGATAGACAGACAGACAGCCAGACAGCCAGACAGACACACAGACACACAGACACACAGACACACAGACACACAAACACACAGACACACAGACACACAGACACACAGACACACAAACACACAAACACACAAACACACAAACACACAAACACACAAACACACAAACACGCAAACACGCAAACACGCAAACACGCAAACACACAAACACACAAACACACAAACACACAAACACACAAACACACAAACACACAAACACACAAACACACAAACACACAAACACACAAACACACAAACACGCAAACACGCAAACACGCAAACACGCAAACACGCAAACACACAAACACACAAACACACAACACACAAACACACAAACACACAAACACACAAACACACAAACACACAAACACACAAACAACACACAAACACACAAACACACAAACACACAAACACACAAACACACAAACACACAAACACACAAACACACAAACACACAAACACACAAACACACAAACACACAAACACACAAACACACAAACACACAAACACACAAACACACAAACACACAAAACACAAACACAAACACAAACACGCAAACACGCAAACACGCAAACACGCAAACACGCAAACACGCAAACACGCAAACACGCAAACACGCAAACACGCAAACACGCAAACACGCAAACACGCAAACACGCAAACACGCAAACACGCAAACACGCAAACACGCAAACACGCAAACACGCAAACACGCAAACACGCAAACACGCAAACACGCAAACACGCAAACACACAAACACATAAACACACACACACACACACACACCCTGATTGCGCCAGGAGATATAGACTGAGCCCGGGGTGTGTTGGGCAGAATCGCATCAGCTCCATCCATCCCATTAGCCTTGCAATGCAAAGTACATCACCAGTACGAAATGAAAGATGGGAGCGGAGGGGAGGGGAGGGGGGGGGGAGGGGAGGGGAGGGGAGGGGAGGGGAGAAAAAGGTGTCTTGTTTTGAGCGCGCCCATTTGTGGGGCTAGCCTTGCAAACAGTTACGCTTGCGCTGTCTTTCTCGGCCGGCCTCGATGCAGAACTTGATGGCGCCGCCCTTCCGGGTCGGCTTCGCCAGGGAAATCTGGCGGGAAGGACTCGACTCCAAGGACTCGGAAGCCAATGGGTGTCCGCTTGGCGTCAACCAACACCCAAGAAGGGCTTGGTGAGAATCACATATCACCCCAGTTTTTGACTGGAAACCGATTCCGCATGAAACAAAGAAGGTCGCCCAAAGAAATCACGCCAAGCACGAGGTCCAACTTTTGGAAATCCAAATGAGGTGCATGAGGTCCATGCACGAATGATCTCTTTTGCTCCCATCACATGGGCGTGTCTTTTTCTAGTGGACCCCCCTAAACCACGGAAGGAAAAAAAAGAATAAAAAAATAAAACAGGAGTACCAACTCCAACAACAAGCACTCGCCACTGACCTGTTCGTACACGCCTCGTCTCCGGCATTCACCACTTGGGTCTTCCCACGCCTCGGCCGGGTCGCCGGGCGCGCGCGCGGCTCCGCGCGGCTCGGCGCTTGAGGCACCGGCCCAACCCTCGAGGCGTTGACGAAAGTCCTGGCGCCGCCGAAAAATCGCGGCAGCCCTCCAATTTTTTTTTGCCCCGGTGCTGGTGACAGGCAGGAAATGATGCACTCTGGGAGATGTACAGGCACATATATATATATATATACATTATATATATATATATATATATATATATATATATATATATCATATGTATGCCGCTAATGCCAATCCCCACGATGCCATGCCCAGCCCGGTCCCGTTGCCGCTGAGGTCTTCCAGCAACAGAGGGCCTTCCCCCGTGTCAACCTGCAGCACACGCGGCAAATCCGCAGCTTCTGCACCACCATCTCCGTCCAGCTTCCATCTCGCAAGCCAAAAAAACTCAGGGAAGAGCAACCACAGACCATAAAAACAAAAAAACTCAGGGAATGCAATGAAAAAACCTCCAAGGGTTCATCCATTGGACAGCACAAGCTCCCACCTCCAAGGAGGCTTCTAGCTTCGGCTCTGAGAGTCCTGCCCTCTTCAGGCGGCAGTGCTCCCCGCTGACGTAGGCATAGGACTGGCAGAACGAGGGAACGGCTTCTCCCGAGAATCACGGACCTAGGCGTTCGCTGTCCTTTTGGTTGCTTTCCAAAGTTCTCCAAAACAGCAGTTTCACCCTCAGTCGAGCACCCCCCTCCACATATACCCCACGCGAGCGCGCGGGCCTCGGGCAGGACCAGCTGGCAGCAGGCCTTCCGGCCGATGGAGAACTGTCCCGCGCCCAGGTCCGGCAACCTGGCGAGGGTCAGAGCCCCCTGACCGAGAACAAAACGCTGCTGGTCTTGGAAGGGGTAGTTACCTCCATTCCCACGTGGGCTCCTCAGTTTTATTTTCTTTTTTCCTTCGCAAGTCTTGGAGCATCCCGCCCAAATGGAAGGTTCTGGTTGGGGATGGGGAACCACCAAGAACTGGGAAAGTTGGGCCTGGGGGGAAATCGCTAATGCGTGGGGAAATGAGTTCCTCTTTCCAAAAAGCGACGCCCAAGTCGTGCCGGACAGACCTCCATGGTCCACCGATGCCGGCCTGCCACTCACGCGCTGTTTTGTTTGAAGGCGGAACACGACAAGCGCCTGCAGCGTAGTCAACTGCCAACCAGGCATGCCCCACTCAGTCTGAATGAGGACTTGCAGGACATGTAGCCCGGAGTTCCTAGATGCTGCGAATACAATCCGCAGCTGAAGAGCATGTATCGCTTGCGTTGAATGCTCCCAAAGTTTCAGTACCTGTGGGCTCTTGAGATCGCAATGGTGGGCTGAACTGGATGCTGGAGTGCTCTGTGGCGATCTTGTTGACCGCAGCCTGCCTTGCTGACACTTGGACTTACGTTGCTCATGTGCCAAAGCTTCGGCGGGCGTTTTCGTTTTCGGCGGGACGGGCGCCATGCAGCCATGGTCAGGTGTGATGTGTGTGTGTGTGTTTTTTCCTCCCCCGCTTTCTCGGTGTAGAGAAGTGGAGCCATCTGATACTCATGCCTTCACGCCTCACGCCCACTGCAAACCCAAATCTGCGAGAATGGAGTCGTTCAGCGCTGCCTTCCTATCAGCTCTCAGCAAGGGTCCACCACTTCCCAAGGACCCGACAGCAAGCAAATCCATCAGCTTCTGAGGAGCCCTGGGGATCTTCTTTTTCTTTTTTTCCGCGTCTTTCTCCCGTTTTTCTGCGGCGCAGCCCCTTTTCCGGGCACCTCCTGAAACTCGGGTTCCTTCGTGAAACAGCCGAAAGGGCCTTGAAAAGCGGAGAGCAATTCCGCGAGCTTGATGCATCCGGCGCCAGGAAAGCAGGGAACATGGCGAAAGACAAGCAAAACTACCCGCAGTACCCACAACAACCAAGACCGCCGGCTCTTTTTCCATGCCCTTAAACCAAACATTTTCTCCTGGATACATTTCATAGAGGCTTGACCTTTCAGCCATCCATGTTCCCTGCTCTTCTGACCGGCTATGTCTCGCCCACTCATTGCCAACTGGTTAGATGTCGGCAAAATTGATCTCGGCCTCAACCTGGCGGAGCCATGGCGGCGACATGAGGCCTTGCGCGACTCGATTGGCAGCCAAGGTTTCAACATACTGCCAGCCACCATGAATATGACATTCCCCAACGCCGTGGATGAACGCAATCCACTGCGCACCAGAGGTGCCGATGACCTTTCACCACAAAGTGTCCAAATTAGGGGATTTCGGGGGTCCAAAGTCGCTGTCAGGCAGCGGTCCCCATGTCTGGTCGAGATCCTGACCTTCGACATGTCCACATCGGAGTCGCCGGAGTCTCCATCCTGCAAGACTTCGCCATCCCGGAACTCACCATGGGTACATGGGTGTGAAAAAACTTGGCCATCTGGATCCGCTACGAGCAGTCAGACGTCCAATGTGTAGCCCTCCGGAGGGCCTTCTCCTCCACCGCTTCCTGGCAGACGCTCGGAGATGTCTGGGTGCTGCCTCAAAATCAGGGGGCCGCCAACATGCGCGGCGCCTCTCCTGATTTCAACCAACCCCAAGGATGGTAACCCCAAAAATACAACACACACACACACATGTTGTCTTCCAAAATGGGGGGGGGGGGCTTTTTGCGTTGGCTAGCCGGTAGTAGAACCACCTCCCACATTGGCCATCTGTGCCCCGCTCTGCCGTTTGTCCACCTCGCAGACCTCCGAACAGACCGCAAACTACCCAGATGTCAATTTAGCCAGGCTAAAATGGCGCTGGGCTGGGAGCTAGCAGGTGTTCCAAGTCTTGGCATCCGAAACTTGAGCCCTTTTCCGCAGAAAACTGAGACACGAGCTTGTCTTTTGAGGTTACCCCTTGGTTTCTGGCTTTGAAGGGAAACCAAAAGGAAAGAAAACCCATTTCGGGGGGCCCCCGAAAAAAGGCACCTCCCCACATCGCCCGTCACAACCTCCCGCGCCAACTCTCCCCTTCGGCGCCTTGACCTTCGCCGGCGCCGTCGCCATGTTCCTCGTCTGTAAAGGGTTCCCTTGGTTACCCGCCGGTTACTGGGACTCAAAGGGAAATACGGAATCACTGGGATGTCCAACTAATCCTAACTCACCCAAAGACTCTGAAGGACCGTTTCTTTCCTATGGTCCGCAGTGGTCATCCAAGTGGGGGTGCCCAGGCAAGCCAGCTGAAAAGTTCTCATAGACCGCCAAAGCTTGGAAGTGCTTCAAACCTTCTTTGGGCCAAGATTTTGGCCAACCAGAGCTCTGGCAAACCAGAGCTCTGTTTTTAATGGGGCTTAAGGAGCGTACCCTTGGAAAATGGGTTGGTTGGCGGCTGGCTTCTCTTTGACCCCAAAGAAGATATCCTTGACAACACAACAGTTGGTTGGGACTGTTTGCAGCAAAAAGCAATTCAAAAGGGGCCTGAATTCAAAACACCAAAAATACCACGTACCCTTGGGAAGAAAAAGCACCAATCAGTCCCCAAATTTTGGGCTGGCCTCCTTCGTCCCTTCAGATGCCCAATGGTTACAATTCCGCAAGCAAAACGCTCTCTTCGGGTGTCCCGGCGCCAAAGCGCCGTAGCCCAGAAAGGGGCCCGGCCTCGGAGCTCCAGGCCGAGAAAGGCAGCTCCCTACAAGCTAACAGCACTTGCTCTCCATCATATGTTTAATCAGTTATTGTCTGTTTAGTTGTTGATTTATTTGTTCAATTAAGAAAGAAGAAAAAAAGAAGTGTCTTAAATTTTCTACAAAAAAAGGTGGTCACCCAAAAGCAGATCTCCTCTAAGGATGGCTTTTGGGGTTCCGATCCGTTGAATGGGCCCCAAGAAACAAGCTCGGATCGCCAAGCATCCAGGACCCATTGGTCAGTTCCCCAAAGAAAACGAGTCGCTGACCCAACTGCCGCGTCATGTCTTTTTGGCGCCTCTGTGCTACAAGTCGGAAAAATCAGCTCACCCTTAAGTGGTGGTTTGTATTGGTGGCTTGCAGGTTGGGTGATTTCCCATGTACCCACAAGAACCAGGGCTTCGAATCCAAATCCAAACCACTAACCCCAACCACCAGTTAAGGGACACCCAAACAAAAAAATATTGACCTCAGTCGCAGTGAGCCTGCCAGAAACGAAGTCCCACGCACCGCGTCCCGCGTGAATAAGACCACTTACGTGCCTCGTGCAATGCTTCTGCATGCCCAAACACACCAGGAAGAGTGATGATTCAAAATTCAGTTGGATCGGAGTGGCCTTGACATGCGGTCAAGTCCCCTCCTCCATGTGCATATATACGCAATATATATATATATATATATATGGTCACCCCCCCCCCAGGGCCTACCTTTCTACTTTTTGCATGAAAGAGATTTTCTTGCAGATGTTCAGTGTCCACTTGGTTTGCAGATGCCTTGCAGAAAGCACTGTAATTTACGGTGTTTTTGTGCAATTTTTGATATTGTCTCAGATGTGCTTTCTGTACTTGATGCAAAACAGGATTCGAGAAAGCAACAAACACGAAAACGGAAAGCGTTTTCAGATGCAACTTTGTCAGTTGTGAAATCACTGTTATTTGCAGTGTTTTTAAAGGAAACTGCAAAACAACACCTTTTTTTTAACGTTTTTTGATGGTGTCAGCCTCAACACCTGCACAGGCTCAAAAAATGCAAAAACAAAACCAAACCTGGAAGCTCCAAAACCTGCACAGGCTCAAACAAATGCAAAACATGCAAAACCCAGATGCAATGTTAGAGGTCAGGGCTTGATTGGTCTGGATTTTGCATTTTTTGCATTTGTTTGAGCCTGTGCAGGTTTTGGAGCCTTGGGTGCTTAAAACCTGCACAGGCTCAAAAAATGCAAAAAATCCAAACCTGGAAGCTCCAAAACCTGCACAGGCTCAAAAGAATGCAAAAAATGCATATATATTTTTTGCATTTTTTGCATTTGTTTGAGCCTGTGCAGGTTTTGAAGCCTTCGGTGCTTAAAACCTGCACAGGCTCAAAAAAATGCAAAACATCCAAACCTGGAAGCTCCAAAACCTGCACAGGCTCAAAAAAATGCAAAACCCAGATGCAAGTCAGAGGTCAGGGCTTGATTGGTCTGGATTTTTGCAGTTTTTGCATTTTTTTGAGCCTGTGCAGGTTTTGAGGCTTCCTGGTTTGGATTTTTTGCATTTTTTTGAGCCTGTGCAGGTTTTGGAGCCTTGGGTGCTTAAAACCTGCACAGGCTCAAAAAAATGCAAAACATCCAAACCTGGAAGCTCCAAAACCTGCACAGGCTCAAAAAATGCAAAAAATGCAAAACCCAGATGCAAGTCAGAGGTCAGGGCTTGATTGGTCTGGATTTTTGCATTTTTTGCATTTGTTTGAGCCTGTGCAGGTTTTGGAGCCTTCGGTGCTTAAAACCTGCACAGGCTCAAAAAAATGCAAAAAATCCAAACCTGGAAGCTCCAAAACCTGCACAGGCTCAAAAAAATGCAAAAAATGCAAAACCCAGATGCAAGTCAGAGGTCAGGGCTTGATTGGTCTGGATTTTTGCATTTTTTGCATTTTTTTGAGCCTGTGCAGGTTTTGAGGCTTCCTGGTTTGGATTTTTTGCATTTTTTTGAGCCTGTGCAGGTTTTGGAGCCTTGGGTGCTTAAAACCTGCACAGGCTCAAAAAAATGCAAAACATCCAAACCTGGACGCTCCAAAACCTGCACAGGCTCAACAAATGCAAAAAATGCAAAACCCAGATGCAAGTCAGAGGTCAGGGCTTGATTGGTCTGGATTTTTGCATTTTTTGCATTTGTTTGAGCCTGTGCAGGTTTTGGAGCCTTCGGTGCTTAAAACCTGCACAGGCTCAAAAAAATGCAAAAAATCCAAACCTGGAAGCTCCAAAACCTGCACAGGCTCAAAAAAATGCAAAAAATGCAAAACCCAGATGCAAGTCAGAGGTCAGGGCTTGATTGGTCTGGATTTTTGCAGTTTTTGCATTTTTTTGAGCCTGTGCAGGTTTTGAGGCTTCCTGGTTTGGATTTTTTGCATTTTTTTGAGCCCGTGCAGGTTTTGGAGCCTTGGGTGCTTAAAACCTGCACAGGCTCAAAAAATGCAAAAAAATCCAAACCTGGAAGCTCCAAAACCTGCACAGGCTCAAAACAATGCAAAAAATGCAAAACCCAGATGCAAGTCAGAGGTCAGGGCTTGATTGGTCTGGATTTTTGCAGTTTTTGCATTTTTTTGAGCCTGTGGCCAGCTTTGATGCCATTGAGAAACCAAGCCATTGAGGTAATGAGTGCTCTACTGATAAATCAGATGCTTACAGGACAGCCTTTGATATAACAGTGCAGCAGTGATGACACACACACACAATCATCAACCTTTTAGGACCACATGCCCAAACCACATCAAACAAGGCCCCAAATGAGTGTCCTTTTCTTCCCAAACAATAGTTTCCACTTGCTACGCAATAAGCCTACAGAAGGTTTATAATCTTTCAGAAAAGTTTATAAACCTTATTGAGTGTTTGACGAGTTTCCCGCATCAAGGCAACAACACCCTACGAAGTGTTCATGGTATCGTTGAAGGAGCGGGGGGGGTGGTTGGTTGGAAGTCTTAGCAGTGAGGTGTGACTCAGCCAACTTTGTAAAGACTTCTCAGTACCCCCCCCCCCCTCCCCCCCCTGCCCTTGTTGCAAGGAAACCGTCAAACCCTTGACATGGTTTATAAACTGTCTTGAAAGTGTATAAACTCTTTGCTGTTGTTACTCAACATGACTTGTCACCCACAAACAAATATGCAGCAACAGCACACTTCTTGCGTATATATGCTCACACCCCCTGTCCTTAAAATAAGAGGGTTTTGTACATTTTGAAGTGGAAAGGTAGGCCCTGGGGGGGGGGGGTGAGCATATATATATATATATATGATGTTCCCTTCCCTTGTGCCCGCACCCCCGCCCCCTTCTTCATACAAACACTGCAGAAACTGCAACACTGGAAAAGTTCTTCAGGCCCGACAAATTTAAAGCTTGCCCAAATGGGGGGGGGGGTTCTGAAAGTGGAAATTTCGGACCCCTTTCGGTGCTTAAAGGGAAACCACGCGATTGCCGCCTTTAATCGGGGGTGTGTCTCCAAAAACGGACCGAACGCCACAAAATGGGATTTGGGTTGGGGCGGTCTCCCTGTTTTGTTTCCCTCATTTCCCCCCAAAAAAAACGAGCCTCAACCGAGCCGAGTACCGAGTACCAAGCCTCGCCCCATTTCGAGGAGCCCATCTCACTCCGGTCTCGGGCTGCGGCCATCCCATCGGCGAAACCGCTGCACCTGGGCCGTGCGCGTTTTTTCTTCTTCCCCCGGGCGTCTGAGAACAAAGACGAAAAATTTGGCAGAGGGACAACCCAAAGAAAGCAAGACGTCCTCCAATTTGAGAAAAACCCACACCTTGCAATGGCTCTTGTGTCTCAAAACGAAAAAATGAAGAGAAACCCAGGCGGCTCTGCTGTCTTGAAGCCTGAAATTGGCACCAAAGCAAGAAAAACCGGCCATTTCCAGATCACACTTCGGTCCATTCACGCTTGACCTGTGGTTCCGCGTGCCCATTTGCGCGGCTGCAGACGGGCGAGATCCGCCTGAAGCTTTCCCATGTCTCCTCGACCTGGCGGAGAAAAAAAAGGCCGAGCGCGAGAGAGCGAGAGAGAGAGATGCAGAAACGGATGGCTCCAAACTCCCGGGTGCGGGGGCTGGCTCTTGTAGAAGCCATTTGTTCGAAAGACAATTGGGGGAACCGGGGCCGATCATTGGCACCTGGCGAGAACTTTCAGGAAGGTCTGCCGCTGCGAGTGCTTAAAACACAGGCTCGCAAGCAAAGGGTATGCAGGAGAACGTGAATATTCTGTTCATGTTTGTATTTCCCCAGAGGCTTGTTTGTGCGCAAAGCAGGTAATGCTTCGGAGTTGGGGTGCTTGCGTTTCAATGTCTTTCTTGCTTGGTCGCTTGCCTGTTTGTGCAAGATGAGGGGAGGACAGAGAGTCCCTTACTCCCCACAAACACGGCAAGTGAGCAGCTGTGCATATGTATATGTCTGTGTATGTGTCTGTGTGTTCCCTTCCCTATCTCATGGGGCCCCAGGACCGCACAACTGTCCACAGCCTGCACGCGGCTTTGGAAAAACTGTAGGACCAACTTGGGCCGGAAGCGCAGCCGGCGGAATTCCGAGGTGTTCCGTCTTTTCCGCTTTTCGAAAAAAGCTGCACGGCATGGCGTGCAGCGTCACACGCACACCGCACGGAGTGTCTGGCCCCTCAGCGGGAAGGGCACAGCAGCGCGGGTGGGCCCGCGCCTGCGTTTGGAGCTCGACCTGCCGAAAAACCGACACCAAACAAAAGCAGACGACTCGAGGCCTGAAATATCCCGCCCCTTCTCCCCCAATCAAAGTATCTCCCGCCCGTTCTCCCCCAAAGTCGTTTTGCAGAAGGACTTGCCTGGAGCGCTTCCGGCTTTTGGAGGACTTGCCTACGCGCCCGGAGCAAAGCGCATGGACGAGGCAACACGCGCGCAGCAAGTCGAAAGCGGGAAACGTTCGCCAGGCCTCTCGCTTTGTCCTGCCGAGAAGCGTGAGTTGACACTGGGGGACCTCGTTGCGACCCGTTTCCGTATAATTTCGCTCCGTGTCGCAAAACTTGCTGTTGCTCAGTAGGGAATGCTGTCCGAATGAACCCAGGGGTCCGCTATGGTCCGCTTAAAGTAAACCACAACAAATGGTTTACAAGTGGGTCATTCCCTCATTCCGAGCTGAGCACCAGCAAGGAAAGGGGGTCGCCAATGTGTCAAGTCCCCATGTTCCAAAGACATCGCCGTTCCAAACCCCGCGCCTTGCCCTTTGCCCGTCTTCCACCTAGCCGACCACATCCGACCGCCAACATGCCGTCAGTGCGCCGGTCTGTTCCAAGCCCAGGGCGCGAGCTGGACGAGGACCTGCCGGGCGCCGGAAAAAAATGGGAGAAAAGTGGCTGGAATTTGGCCATGGGTCAAAATCCCGTACCCCCAGTGAACATCCCCATCCCCACTAAAATAGACTAAATGGGTGGTGCACCTACCCCAAAATGGTACCATTGGTTTTGACCCATAGCCATTTCACTCCCCTCGCATGACAGGCAGACACCCGCGCAATCCGAAAGCTCCAACCACTCACACGAGTTGGAAGCTGCCGAACCGAACGCTCGAGGGAAGTCGGGCGTGTTTTCTGCATCCTCTGAAACCATACCCGCGGGACGTCTTTGCGATGGACTCAGAGCCGAAAACCCCCATCGATCGGCTCCGCTGCCGTGGCTTGGTCACTGGACAGGCCCGTTTGGCCGGGCCGCGACCCGTTTCGAGCACATGGGTTCCAAAGAAATACTGCGCAAATGATTCTGCCAGGCCAAGCGTTCCGAGTTCGGAACCTGCTGAATGGAGAACCCGTCACATGGGTTCTCCCCCCTGTCCAACGTGACTGCGGCCTTCAAGCGATCTAAGTCGGCAAATTGCCGACCGCGGCTGCGAGACACGCGGAGGCTCGAAAAGATGCATGACTAAACCGCTCTGCTTGCGATTTAAGATATCGACTCCTTTGCCATACCCCCAGTGTCAGCCGAAAAGACCTACCACGGCGAAACTCCACAGCCTGCGGGCGAGAGACGCGGGCGAACGTGTTTTCTGACTTCAATGCAGCTAATGCGTATCACGTTCACCCGATCCAAATTCACACCTGAGCTACTATGAGGATTACAACGGAGCCTCCAGCACACACCAAACTTGCTCCTTGACAGGCGGACAGGCAGACAGCCTCAATCAACTCCTAGCACAACTGTATACCCCAGGCTTCATCTGGCTCACATTGTATGCTTCGAATTTGTGGCTCTTGGTTTCACAGTCCCATGTCCACCTTCCATTAAACTCGAGACTGCAGCTGTTCTTCTTTCGGAGTCGAGGCTGTTGCCAAAACTGAGGAGCGCCCGGGCGGGGGCGCTCGAGGCGAGAGGTACGGGCCGTTGAAACTGTTTTTGGGCCCGGGCTCAGATCGGCGCCATCCACCATCGAAATGATACTGTGGATGGTTGCGAAATCCATAAACCGCACCACCCTCACAAACCCTGGAATGGTTCGATTTCCCTACACATTCCAACAAACAATGGGCTCCCATGGTTTCAAAGTGGTGGAGGATTTCGTCTATCCACAGTATTGTAGTCCACTGGAATCTGCTCAAAATCGCCGTCCCCCAAAATATCTCCGCACCTGTTGGTTTAACTTCTCCACCCGCAAAGAGCTGATTCCGAGACGAGACGCTCTGTTCAAGCGCTTCGCCCCCATTCCGAACTTTCCGCCACCGATCTGAGCCAATGCGAATTGTATTCACAACAATCAGTCTGTATCACTGAGGCAAAGGCCACCTCAAAGCGAGCAATCGAATAGCTGTGATTCTTTATGAGACCCTTTGCTGGATGGACATCAAAAGTCGGTACCAACCACTTGTGAGGTGGTTCCCAAAAAAAAATGGCCAAATCAAAGCCGCCAATCTTCAGAGCTCTCTATGGCCGGTTTCACGCGCCTTGGACCTGGGCTTACACAAGGCCCAAGGCCCCCGGCAGAGATTTTGGTAGCGCCTGCGGGCCTGCGGGAAGCGGCTCGACGGGAAGCGCTTGAAATGAGAAAGGGGGACCGGGGTTTCCCGCGCCCTTTGCGGGGTTCCCCTATTGTCTGGAGACAAACCCGTGAAAAAATGACACGCGTTTGAATGCAGGTGACACGGCGACACGAACCGGCGAGCTCCGAAGTGCAACGCTGCAAGCAGAAAGTGAGTGCGGTGGTGACAAGGATATGGATGGACAGGATCCTGCACAGTGAAGCCCTATGAATGATGGATCCCACTGTGCAACCAATCCCATGATACACCAATCCCAACTGGATAAGCCACAGTATAATCTATTGTGGTTTTCATCTCAACGTGCATCATCCTGTCCGTCAGTATCCGGATGGAAAACTGGTGCAACACTGGGCCCTGCCAAAAAGCGACGGTTTTTCCTGGGCGAATGAATGAGTCCAAAAATAGTTGCCACATGAACCTCCACGTAAAATCACGTCAAAGGGTTCAATCGTTTCAAACTCACGCCCAAACCACCCCCGTTTTTGGTTTCAAAACTAGTCCCCGCTAAGCCGTGCGCCACCAGCACCAGCACCCAGCTGCCTTCGCAAAAAGGGCTAGAAATACCGCAGGAATGCCAAATTCCACTTCCCCCCCGCCTTCTTCACTCGGCTTGGGTCTCCTCGCGCTTCTGTAACATGCGGAGGCGGCGCCTAAGGCGCCAAGCGAAGCGAAGCCGCGGCGAGCGGAAGTGTTGTCTGGACTTACATCTACTTTGGGACCCTTTGAGCCGTGAATTTTAACTCTAGACCTGTTGGTGGACATCAGAATTGGACATCAGAAGAAATGAAGCAAGCCAACCCCCCCTGGGGCATAGAAAGGCTAGCCTCACCCAAACGACCCCGGGAGTCCGTGAGTCGAGGGGTAGCTTCCATTTCGATTCTTTCCAGGGATCCGGATCTTTCTGGAAAACCACCAAAGACCCCCGGGGTATGGCTGGTTCTTGAAAAGAAAGGATGGCTGAAAAGAATGGAAAAGGAGTCAACCGCTCGGGCAAATCCCTGCATGCCACACTCCAATCGGCTCCATCCTAAGCAGCCCGCCCCTCGTTGGCGCTGGCACGCCCAACCTTGCAACGGCCAAGTCAGCTGAAGGGATCCCCATGGTCAAGTTGTTTCATTTTCGTTGAAACGCCGCCCCAAACTATTTGGGTGTTTCTCCTTTCTCAAACTAGGCTGCTGTTTGAAATGGTGGTTTGCCATTTGCCATGTGGTTTCAAAGGTGAATGACATGGCTGCGTCCTTGTGGCGTCCCAAACGGGTACCCTCAAAACCACCCACTCGGCACAGACTGCCTTCATGTCGCGCAACTTCTGCTCGAGGTCCTGGCAGTTAGGGGCGCTTTGGTTGTATGGTTCCGGCCGGACGTCCCAAAAAAAACAAGTCCCATGACTGGCCAATCGAGGATCAGCCAACTGAATTGAGGATTGGCCAGATTACTTTGAAAGATCTGATGTGTTCGACATGCCCTCTCATTCTGAGCCAGAGTCATGGCTCCCTGAATAGGAATCCCGAGATCAAGTTCCCCGTTCAGGGGTGCCCATTGCCATCCTAACCCCAAGTATTTTGTGTTGACCATGGCATTCACCCGCCTGAATACATTTGGGTGTGTCTTTTTCTTTAGAAAACCACCAAGACGGATCCGCTGCTTCCTTCCTTTTTTTTTGGCTTTCCCTTGGAAAAAAACCGCCAAAAACCCTCGGGAAAACCCACCACAAAACACCCACGCGCCGCCCCACGGCCCGCCCAACAGCCCGGCTCGATCCTCGGCCGGGCCGGTGGCGTGGTGCCAACGCTCCCCCAGCGCGTTGGCATCAAAGAAGCGGCTCGCCAGCTGCGGAGCGCTCCGGGGAAAAAAGAAGAAGAAGAAGACAAAAAAAAAGGAGAAAAAAAAATAAAAGAAAAAACGGGTCGTCTCGAGGGGTTCTTGGCTTCGACAGAGAATGAGTACAGAGACCAAAGATCCGAAACCCCTAAGAACCAGCCCTCAAGCTTACCAGTCTCCAGACTCGCGTTCAAGACCCCAAGAAATCCTCCCTGGTTTTCCAGGTGAAGATCTCAGCCGACTTTCGCATCTGAATCGCTCTTTTCCTCTCGGCGCCAAGTGGGTGTCTCTCTTTTGAGGGTACCCGTTTGGGGTCTTTCTATTGCCGAGCCCCTGTACTCATTTGGTGTCAGCACCCCCTCCCCCCACTCCCAATGTTGAGACAAACGTAAATGAGCCTAGAAGAACTGCCTAAAACCTCCCTCGGTTGCTCATGTTGCCTGCCTAAAACCTGCCTCGGTTTGCTCATGTTGCCCGCAGTCCTATTGCTTCATCTCCCATCTTGCTTGCCTTCCCATCCCCAGCCTGCTGCACTCGGGGTTCTTGACGCCTTGATCCCGGCCATCGATCCGGTCGACTCTGTTGAAAATCAACCTGGAAATTTAAAGAGGGTTCCCATACACGGGTAATTCTTGCACAAGCTGGTGTTGATAATTCTTGTTTTAAGCTGATCCAACAGAGATGCTCTCCTGACGGTTCGCGCCAAGAACAAACATCCCAAAAGAACGCACGCGCACCCCGTTCTGCATGCCCAAACAACCAAACAATTGCGAGCTCGCAAACTCAGAACAGCCACGGGCCGATCGAGGCAAATCAACTGCCCAAGTGGTTAACCCTCTGCCCTCAGCTGCCCGCTGCTCGCGGGCCGCCAGCCGCTCCTGCCAGGCCGCCGAAGCCAGAATTTCATTTAATGTTGACCCAACAATCAACCAACAAGTTTATTCATAGCGGGTGTCAGATTCTGAGTTTAGTGGGGACTTCAATCCGCCGACCCTCTGCCTCCGTCCCAGCCTCCTGCAGAGGGGACCGGCGTGGGATGCAACTGGAAGTGATTGGAATCAATGATAGTCCCTGCAAAAGACGCCCGAACGCACAAAAAGAAAAGTGGATTCCCAGGACCGGTCCTGGCTGGGACCAATCCTGGGACGGGTCCCGGGACTGGTCCTGGGACCCTGGTTCTGCTGTTTCAGATTACTTGTAGTCAGCCAAAACCGGTCCCGGGACTGGTCCCAGGACCGGTCCCGGGACCAGTCCCAGGACCGGTCCTGGGACAGGTCCCGGGACCGCTTTCAGGACTGAAGCCGGTCCCTGGGATTCAGTGTGAATGCTGGTAGCCACCTCAAACCGCTCCAGACACCTTTCCGGACTGGCACCCGTGTTTCAGGACACTGGACAGGGTCCCAGGTCCCAGTCACTCCCTGCGACCGGTTGAGGGGCACCGACGGCCTTGTTTCTAGGACCAGCTCAACGT